CCTATTTTTTATTGTTTTGCCTGGGGTCTAACTCAATGAAGAAACTACTTCAATGTTTGCTGAATTGAAATAGAGTTGACTTGAAGCCTGACAAAATGGTCACTTAGACCCACCCAAGGATTTAACTCACCCCTCCCCTCTGTTCAGATTCATTCACATCTCCCTCTCCCTCCCTCCCTCTCCTTCCCTATGAGAGGTAATTAATAATTCAGCCAACAATAGTGCATTCTGATGGTTAAGAGTATAACCATTTAATTGGTATTTGTTTTGCAGCAGCGCAATATCTCATTTTCCCAGGAGGGCAGTTTTCCATTTCTGTTCTGGGTTCCTCCCAATAAAATAGATCAATCCTGGGGATACCTGAAGGCCATTTGTTAAGAGAGAACGTGGGGAATGGGTTCGTAATAGACACAATACTATAATCATCATGTTTTAAACACTGACATTTATTTAGGGTTTTGTGAACTCATACATTATTAAGGTAAATTCTAATTTATATCAGTATATAATAGGCAAATATATAATACAATAAATTGCATTTGTAGACATAAATACAAAATTTGAGGTAGGGCCTCAAGAATAATGACTTTTTAAATGAATAATGCACAGTATATAATACGCACTCTATAAGATATATATATATATGATGCATCATTTGTAACATAATATATTTTCCTCATGTACAGTTAATGAAAAAATATACGGACCTGATTAGGGAACATATCTTTATTCATAGGCAACAGTATCACATAAGATGCCTGCACTTAGGACATTAGCCAAGTACACAATTTCAGAATAAACCTATCCCACGATAGGTCCATAATAAAGTGCAAAAGAAAGACCAAAAAAAAAAAAAAGACAGACAAAACAGGTCCTAGTCAATTGCTAAGTATCACCCTAACAATAAAATACACCTATAAGGCAAAGGGTTACCTGAAGATGTATTTAATCCACAGCAGGCAAATCAAACCACCGCTTTCAGAGGCGATGCATGCCCAATCTGAAAATACTTCCTCTTTGGCTGCAGGAGGCTCAGAGGTGACCCCAGCCGAGACCGCAACTCAAAACTATTTGGCCTTCCCATACAGTGGAAGCAAAGTCTGGGAAAGACACAGAGCTTCGCTCTACAAATCCTTGAGACACTGGGGAGGGAGGACTATCAAGATGAAACTCACCCACCCAGCGCGAAACAGAGGAAATGCTCGTTTGCTGGCCTTGGCCTTTGGTGCCTGCAAGCCAACCTGCCATACAACATGCTCTCACTTGAGTCATCTGCCTCACAGAAGAGTGTCACAAAACCAAATCCGGGGACGGCAGGCAGCAGCAGTGGGACCCTGCCGTCGCACGTACGTTAGTTAAGCAATAGCTATTGTGCAAGCCTCTGGGATGAGGACGATGACTGATGGCCAAGGGAACAAAGAGGGAAGAAAAGTTTTCATTTCAGGCCCTGGGCAAACCACGCTGACAGGTGAAGGCTGTCAGGGAGCACTGAGGCACGTGGCGATAACAGAGGAAGAACTTCATCGAGGGAAACTCCACTCTGATGCGATGTTCGCGGAAAGACGACCCCAGTCTTACCCACTTCAAGATCATTGTGTTAAAAGTCTTGTTAAAGTGCCGCTCGCTGAAATACCAGTTGATCACATTTCTTACACATTCAAAACACGTTGGAAATTTCGAAGCCATTGAGGTCATTGAGATTTTGCGTTGACCACAGCTTCCATGCAACGGGTACACACAAAGGAAAAAGAAACAAGCAAAAGAAGACCACACCGGACACACCTGTATGACAAACGTGACACAGCCCTAAGGAGAGTAAAAGTCACTAATATGCAAGACAAATATTTGCATAAGAAGCCACAACACCAAAAGAAATATACTTTTTTTTTTTTTGTCCTTTAAGGATAGTACAAGGTTACTGCTTTTAACATATGGCTTTTTTTTTTCCTCTCTCTCTCTCTCTCTCTCTCTCTCTCTCTCTCTCGGAATGGGTTTCTGGCATTTGTTGGTGTCGGGAAATAACCTTCCAAGTGGCACACACCCCACCACTCTGCACAGTGAACCAACGAAAAGGTTTTCCGACTTGGTGTTTAACTCAGTTTGAAGGAGAGCGCTCAGGTAGCAGTCTGTGAACAAGGCTGTCCATTTCATTTCATTCGTTCAATTTTTTTTTTCTTCCAATTGACGGCGGGAGAAAGCACAGAGCAGGAACCGCCATGGGGTCAGCACCCCAGCCAGGTCCGGGGGAGCGGCTGCAAGGTGGGGTGTGCTCCGGCGCCGAACCCCTCTGCCAGGGAAAGCCTCGGGGCCGCAGTGGCTACACGAGTGGGGACAACCGGCTTTACAAAGTCACCGTTTCCAGGGGAGTTCAGGACCTTTCATCTTGAGGCAAACTTTACATGAGACTTGGAAATCGTAGGGAAGAGGAAAAACACAGCTCCTGGGGCTTACCCCGGACAGACCCCAAGGGACGGAACTGTAGGTGCCCCCCCCCACACGACACACAGGAGGAGGGCCCTGCCCTCACAAGTCAACTTTCGGCTCATTTAAATTTCCCCCTTCTTTTAATCACTACAGCACTAATTAGCAGAAATCGCCTTGGCATCCAGCATCAGACTCCTGTTTTCGCCAAGAGGCGCAAGAGAGAAGCCAAAAGAAATCATCATCATCATCATCATCATCATCATCATCATCCGTCCTGACACACGGGTACCAGTCCCATGAGAAGAGGATGCTAATTGATTTCCAGCTCTGCGCCCCAGCCTTCCAACTGGAAAGGCGGCAGATCCTTTCCAAACCTAAGTCAGTCCGCCCTGCCTCCGCCTCCAGCGGTCACCCATTGGAGAGGCTAGTTTTGGGCACCACTCCGTGGAACCTGCTACAGGAACGGGGGCCCCCCCCATCCATATGGCTTTCTCGGGAAAAGAGGGTTCGCGGCAGATGGTCACTAGGGGAGCCACTGGGACACGTGAGGCCACCGCTCGGCTCCCTAACGCCTCGCGTGGGGAGGCTCTGCTTAGTTTCTGGGATAGAGCCCCGCAGGCTCTAGCTCTGGGAGAGAGGCAGGAAAGGAGGGCAGGGAGGGGGGAAGAACACACGTGCACTGCAGACGAGAGGGATGAAAACCCACAGTTCAAAACCCAGCTCTGTTTCCTTTCTCTCAAGTTTCCACGGGCAGTTCTTGAGACCTGGAAATTCACGGCATTGTCGGCAAGTGGCAATGACACCTGCCCCAGGAAGAGGAGCTCAGTAGAATGAGTTAAGACCTCTTTTTCAATAAACGAAGTCATTTAGACAAAAGGCAAAGGAAAACATGTCACACGAAGGTCTTCTGTTAGGTTTCACTGCGGTTGAATGGGATGGAAATGTCACATCAAAAATACAAGATTGAAACTGAAAACTTTGGCCTGAGACCCTGTAATATGAAGACAAACAAATAAAGTGATGGAGATGGTCTCCCCTAAAGGAAACAATTTTAGGTTTGGATATTATTACCGTAAGGAAAAAAAAAATCCAGTCTACACTACTCTAAACTCACCATCTCTACAGTGATTCATAAGATATTTATAAGGATAGAAAACACCACTACGCGTACACACTACATGAACACATACCACATTTTAGAAATTTCATATATGCGTGTTCAGGATACAAGAAGGTAAATAAGGTCACGGCCTCGCCAGTCTCTGCAGACATATGATTTGCTCTCATTAGAGCACAGTTATGAGTACTGTGAATTGGGAAGTCTTAAAATTGAATCGGCTAAATGTAGTCTTAAAAGCTATAGTCTTAATTGGCTCACTTGCTACTTACCTAAGCTGTATTTATCAGAAATTCCTGTAAATACAGTGACCTAAAATGCCCTACCAGCACAGTGAATATCATGGTTGCTTTCTATTAAACTCTGCGCTTCTTCGGTTTCTCTATGACCACAGTTGGCATTTACTGTGAATGAAAAAGAGTAAAAACTGAGAAAGTGTCTGTCTTGTACGAAGTTGTGTCTTCTATATGTAAAATATATAGACAGAACCAGGGTAAGTCTTGTTTTCCCAGAGGCTGAGACACAAGGAATCCACAGCTCATAGAAAGACATTTTTGAAGAGAAGAAACATGGGATCGTGACACTGAACCACAGCGCTAAATGTCATGTGCAAACTAGAATGGAGCTGTACCATGACCGCGTAGAGGCACGAATTCGTGATGGCTTCTTCTGCACAGGTGGAGAAAATGACCAAGAGAATTCGCCAATACGGTTACTTAAAACAAAAATAAATAAATAAAAATAAATTTTAAAAAGACAAGCGAAGGACGAGAGTTCTTCACCGAGATTCGCAGCGTGCAGAGACGGGATATCTGAGTTCTCGGCACACTTGAAACAGTCGGTCTAAATGGAAAACAGATCCCCAGTCGGTCTAAAGGAAAACAGATCCCCAGTTGTAAATGGAAATGCGAACTTAGCCACTTCAGCAGTGTCCAAATCCACCGGCTTGTCTTGCTCTAAAACATTTTGCAGCCACGGCTGATGCTCCAAATATACCCTCCTCAACTTTCTGTATCTGCAAGAAATTACTACAGTGCTCAGCAACACTACTGAGTCCAAACACCAGACTTGTGAGTCCGCCATCCTATATACGTCTCGATGGCACCACCACCAACAACACGCGGTGGATCGCTGACCAAGCCATGCATACCTACTTATGGCTTCACTGGAAAGTGCTCACCTAGTTGATCCACCCCTGCCAAGTACCATGTGCTCAGAAGACCAGCCCTCCTGGAAACTGACACCATGGACACAGGCAAAGAGCGCCTCGAGTGGGCTGTCTAGCTCTTGACTACAGCATGCGACACCCTATCTTACTTTTCTACATAACCACTCTCATGCATGGACATGAACCAAGATGTGGGGAGAGAGAAGGAAATGGGAAGAAAGTTGGGGAAAACAGGAGGGGAGGCAGAGAGGAAAAAACAGGATCAAGCCTGGGCCGTCCCATGCCGTCGGACTAGCACTGGGTGCCCAGTTCCAAATCCTTCACTGGCAGTTTGAGTCCCAGGGAAGAGGTTCCCAAGGGGTCGATCATGTTCTTGTAACGCTCTCCACGGTGCTGAGCTAGGAATGGGCCCCAGTCCGGCTGTGGCGAGCACACCAACTTGAGCCTCTGCAAAGAAGCCAAAGGTACACAGGGTCACAGGAGCAATGCACCTTCCTCCCCTAGCACCGCCCATCTATCCCCCAAACTGCTGGCCACTGCTTTCACCAGGACCCTTCCTCAAGCCGAGAGGTCCCCCGCCAGGAGATGCAGTTGAAAACCTCAGCCCTAACAATCAACTAGGCTGGGGAACCGTTAAAGACGAAACTTAGTTGGTTCACTTGAAAGTATTTACCTCACCCTGCAAGCAATATTACAATTGCTCAGGGTCTGCCTTGCACAAGATTAATAGAGGATAAAGGGCCCAGATTTTAATTACACATTTTCCCCTCCAAATTAGGAGAATTTGCAAGCTTCTCTCTCCACTGCCAAACGCAGTCTTGCAAAGGACATGCGCTCAATTACTTTTGTTCTGTGGTCTCAACAGTGGGTTGTTACATCAAAATAATTGGATTTTATTTAGCATATTTCTCCAAAGTATATAAATGGCTGGGGGAGGGGGGGACCCGCAACCCCAAAGACGCATTGCCAAGAGTAAGCAAAGATTTTAATTATCTGTTGACAAAAATCTATGCTTCTGACTTGGTTCAGCAGTGTGGGTTCTTGCAGGCAAGCTAGAAATAACAGGAACTATTATTCTAACATGGAACTTTTTACGGAAAACATAATTTGATGGGAACATTTTTCTAGAAAAAAGAAAGAAAACATACTTCTGAGTATATAATGGGGAACAATTACATGTTTATTATCTATTAACGTGAAGCTGCTTCTTAGAGCTGTTAGTTTAATTTCCCCTTAAGCATCGGTTTGCAACCTTTGTGTCCCAAATCAACCATAATAAATTTATGTAGCCAACTCATCAGTTTTGGGAATTTCCGCCTAAGACAAAAGTAGCAGAGGCTACACCAGCTTCTGTTCAGAGGGAATGAGATTCCTGGGTCAGTTGGCAGGAGGTTCATCTGGGGCAAGAAGAAGACCTTTCTGAGGGTAAAGGGGCCCCCAGGAATTTACCTACAGGGGAGAGCAGACAATTTCCTGAGGATGGAAACTGGAATCCCACTTCAGTAAGGAGACTCCTACATTCCCTTTGTTAACTCTATCTCCATCTGTAGTCCGTTGAAAATAAAAGCCACCTCCCCATCATGTAGACATCTGTGTTGTGCATTTACTCACACACTTTATTCTCATTTTGCTTCTCCCTCCAGAGTCTCTGTGGGATGCTCTCTTCCTTTTCTTGGCTGATGGACCAAGAACAAAGCCTTACAGCTGTTCTTTATTACCCTGTATTGGCAGGTGTTCCTTCGCCGTGGTCTGTCCCAACACCTCTGAGGCTTCAGTGTGCATCAGCATCACCTGGAGGGCTGGCTAAACTATAGACACCAGGCTCCCATGCCCCCCAACTCTGGTTCAGTGGAGCCGAGCTGGAGTCCGATCATTTGCATTCCCAACAAGATCCCAGGCGGTGCTGATGCTGCTGGCCCCTGGGCTCACCCTGAACACTGGTCTGGTCCAAAAGGCCCAACCTCTGGATTTTCAAGACAGACACAGTGCTAATCTATTCCTAGCAGATCCGAGCAGGTGACTTCTCATAAATAACAAAAGCCTGACCACACTTCCCTGGTGGCTCAACAAGTGGCAGTCCCTTCCCATCAACCCTGGAGACAGGGTAGGGATCTTTTTTTTTTTCCTTTAGAAATGAGGAGAGGGGGATCCCTGGATGGCGCAGCAGTTTGGCGCCTGCCTATGGCCCAGGACGCGATCCTGGAGACCCGGGATCGAATCCCACGTCGGGCTCCCGGTGCATGGAGCCTGCTTCTCCCTCTTCCTGTGTCTCTGCCTCTCTCTCTCTCTCTCTCTCTCTCTCTGTGTGACTATCATAAATAAATAAAAATTTAAAAAAACAAAATTGATGTATTAAAAAAAAAAAGAAAGAAATGAGGAGAGGGTCCAGCAAGGGATTAACAAAGACAAGTCTCACCTCGCACCAGCCATGCCCCTGACCCTTCACTACATTGTGTGGGGATGGCGACATGTTCATCAGCTCGGACCCCCTCAGCCCTCCCTGATACCAGTACAGCAGGAAGGAGTAGTGATTTAAAACTTAACGGTAATAGATGTTTGGAGGAAGACTTGGACAGAGAAGAAGATCGGGAAAGGGGGAATCTGACATGTAGTTAAAAAGCAAGCACTGGATTTAAACTGTGGATAAGGAGGAGAGGGGGAGCTCCAGGAAGGAGGAGACACTGATTGCTTATTCCCCAGAGCTGTCGCCACACTGAGGAATAGCATAATAACAGCCTGGCCTGCGGATTGGCTGAGCCTCTCCATTAGAGGAATAATATATAATAAAAATGGGTTTAATAGAAACGGTGGCAACTGTGATCACTTAATCACCACGTCTCCCTTGAGAAGAAGTTTACCGAATCTATTGTTTTTTCATGCACAGAGCTCTCAGAGCTTCTCCCTTGGGAGGGGATGGCAGGCGAAAGATGCTGATGGAATTACCTCAATAAATCTGCCAGGGGCCAGATGCATTTTTATCACAAACATAATTGGGATCCAGATAACTGAACAGGCGAGCATTAGCCATCCAAGCACCATGGACCAGTTAGGGTAGCGGTAAGAGCCATAGGTCATGGGTTCCCACTGGTAAAAGCTGAAGCAAAGGATAAACTAGGGAGAAAAGAGAAACACACGTGTTAGCCTGGTGATGAGAAGTAGTCATTCCTAACAGTGACGTATGGAGCCCCTGCCACGACTTGGATGCTTTCCTATGATCTCATATGACACCTGTACCAACCCCAAAACAGAGGTGTTACGAACGATCCCTTTTCCAGATGAAGGAATGGAATTTCAGAGAGATGAAGATGACATACTGCTGACCCTGCATTTGTCATCCCCTAGAACTGAGCAATGCATATGGTGTGTACACACACACACACACACACACACACACACACAAAGGCTAAGAAGACAATATAAAGGATACACATCAAGGTGATGGATGGGTACCGCTGGGTGTATTTAAGTGGTTGTCTGTACTCGCTATAGGGGATAATCAAGCTTTTGTTACAAGAAAGAAATCCTTTATGTTTGTGTATTTTAATTTTTTTAATGAGTTGAATCTACTTTGCCTCCTCCCTGAATGGGGAATGGCCCGTATCCAGGTACTGCCTCTAAAGCTGGCAGAGGGAGATGGGAGAGGTCTGCAAGGCAGTGACTGAGCCAGAAGCTGAGTCCTACAATAAACCAAGGGACACAGAATGGGTGCACAGCCCACTCTCAACCGACTCAAGGCGGATGCTCCTTGTCACCAAACGGTGGGCCAGGAGTCCGGGGACGGGCAGGCCCATCTCGGCTCTGCCGCCAACTAGCTGAGGGGCCTTTATGTCTCAGACTTCTCTGCTTTAAATGGATGTGTTTCACCTTGTGTACACAACACGGGGGTTTGCTGGAACAATCCTCTGGTATTTACTCAAAAGCCTCCCCCTTCAATTTTAAGAGAGGCCCTGATATATTTGTGGTCCTATCGCCGCACACTTTTACTGGCAAGACCTGTGAGACCCTTCTGAGGACACAGTGAGTACAGCTGGAAAAGGAACAAGGCCACACGTGTACCAAAGAGAGGCAGTGGAAAAGACAGAACAGGGGTTCTCATTGTTCTTGCCAAACCTTTGGGGAGCATCGCCCCGAGGAGACTGTGTTCTTGCCTGTGTTCGCCCTGCCTGTGGCAGCATCAGCCCAGAATAACGTTACCTAATGATGATGGCATATGTCTCGTGTTTCCCCCACACACACACCTCTTGTTCCATCTCAAGCAGTACAATAACTGCCCAAAAATGATTGGAGGGAATTATATCAGGAAAGACGATATATGGAAGTGTTTGAGAAAAGCACGGAGCCCTATACAAATGCGAGGCATAGCTACATTATCGCTGCAAAGCCCAGGCCGCGGGGGCAAGTGATTATTTCAATGCAACAATAATTCAATGCATTGATCCGAAGCAACGTGAGCCTGAAGACAATGGCTGAAAACACGGCTCCTATGGAAAGAGATGCCTTACTCTCTAGGCCGCTTTTTAAACATTTGCCCCTAGAGTTATGAGCTTTAGTAACCAGTCTATTGGAAGCATGGCCTAATGTAATTATGGTAAGTTGCTCCATTTCATTTACTATATAAATAGCAATACATCTGCTTATGTGTGCACATAATTCAGTGACGTGATCTGACTGTGTTTATAATAATTGCACGGAGAATATTTATAGCTCTATAAATCCAAGGAGGCACATATAAAAATGATCAATTTCATTTCAGAGGGTTTGAAGAAATTTAAACCCATAATCTTAGCTCATTCCAGCATACTACAAATATCCATTTTACAGAAGGGCAAATGGCAAAAAACAAGTGTTAGAGTTGGTCCTTTGGTACCCATTTCCAGTTGCACGAATATCACATCAAACTGATCCGACCAAATTCGTTCTTGCCGTAAATTTCCCTCTGCCAAGCCAGCTTTGATACAACGGACATGTGGAAACAGTTTTCTTCTTCTGATGAACACGCCCGTTGTTTATACCCTCTGATGGGCCTGGCCGTGAGTGATGCTAATTGACCCACCGAGTCAGGCCCACCCTGACTTTCTGCTCACGGCAGCCAAGGAAGGCCCTGGAGAGAGGTATATCAGCTGACAATGACAGTGATGTGCTCTTGACCACTTCTACTTATCCCCAGCTCCCAGACACAGAAGGGGAATCTGGTTCAGGATACTTTCTGGGATCTCCATAGGTTTCCCAGATGAGCCTCATAATCGATATCAGGTAAAGCACAGCAGAGCTGAGAAACTTTCTCAAAACACACAGCAGGTCCCGAGAATTTCTTTTCCCTGACCTTCTGCTCACAGGGCTTAGAATTATTTTAATCCAAAAAAACTGGCCAAACTCCACTTGGGGAGGAAAGCACTGAGTTTTGAGAAATATACTGGGGCCTAGACAGCTCAAGATTCAAGCCTTAGCTCTGCCTCCTGCAAGCTCCGCAGCCTTGGTCAAGCTCCTTAGCCTCTCGAGGCCTCAGTACACACACCTGTAAAATGGGGGGAAGCACCACCCATCAGCCAGTGTGGCCAGAAGCTTTAGTGATGATGCTCATAAAGTGTCTGTCTCTCAATAGACCTGCCTCTAAATCGTGCTGCTGGTTGTTCTAATTACGTGATATGTTTCTGCAAAATATAATAAAATTCTCTGAAGCTTAATCTCTTCTGAGACAGGAAGGCAAGGCAGGTCTTGACCTCACCCAAGAATAAATCAGATGTAGTAACAACTGGGGAAATGGTAAAGCTCAGCGGAGACAGAGAATGCCGCAGGCAGGAGAGTCTCACATTTTCCCCCCCACCAATTAGGTAAATCCAAGCTCTTCTTATACATTTCAGTCCTTAATTCAAGAAACTGAAAAAGCTATTTTAATTATTTTCATCCCTCATGCCCCAAATCTAGCGGGAATTTTCAGACAGACTTTTAGCCTCTAAAATGTGAGCACTGATAGGGGCCTCAGAATGATGTCCGTGTCAGCGCAGAGGCGAGGTAAATGCTGAATGCTTTTTCTGTCTAAACTTGTATCTTTTCAGAAAGCAGTTGAGGTGTTTTGATTAAAACCCACTCTGTGACAGTTTAAAAAAAAACTGTGACAGTAAAAAAAAATTCAAAAAAAGGAAATATATATTTTCTTTACAATTTTACTTCCATCCTGTCTTGTTTTCCTTTAGAGAACCTGGTGCTGTGTAGGCAAACCATGGTCTTAATCTGGTTTCTAGTGTCACCTGCTGGCCCCAAGGAGAACTACAGCCAGCTTCCTGCAGCCTTGCCCAGATGACCCCCAGCACAGGCCAGGGGGGAGGAGGAAAGGCAAGGTCTCCGCCAATCACTGTGCTTGGAGGGTGGATGGAGGCAGAGCCTGCAGCCCGCAGCACAAAAAAGGGGGCGATAGGATGTGCATTTAAGTCGCCCTGCAGATTTACTGACACACGAAGGGCTTTGATCTTTAAGAAGATGAATGTCAGATGATCCCAAAATGTCAGCATCACACTTGAGGATGATAAGATCGTTCTCAAAAACAATAAAAGTGAACAGCAGAAGTCTAACTGGTGCTATATTAGTTGTAGAGCCGCTGTACTGAGTAGCGGTTAAGAGCAAAGAGTGCTGGAGCCAGCTCCCTGGGTTCGAACTCAGGCTGTGACGGCTAATGACTAGCTGTGCGACGCTAGGCAGGTCACACGAGCCCTGGGTGTCAGTTTCCTCATCTGCGGAATGGAGATGATCATAGCGCCAACCGCACAGGCTGCTGTGAGGGAGAGATGGGGGGATACCCCTAAAGCTCTTGAACAGAGCCAGGACCATGGCTAGCACGTGGGAAATGTGAGTATCTGCTCTCAGCCCATGAGGCGGACCGATATCGTGGGAAATGTCCCGTAAGGGTGAGTCACAGCTAAGCACCTTAGGTGAGGCACTATACCTCTCTGAACCTCAGCCTCCTCTTCTGAAATACAAGAGTAATATGCCTTGTTCAAACACAAAACACCACGTCCACATGCAGGGACAAAGCATGCAATCCTTACGGTTAAGATGGTTGGAGTGACAAATGCCCAGCAGACTTTCCAGAAGATGTTTGGCTGGAATCCAATCATCATCTCTATATCTTCGCAGAATCTCTGCAAGCCTGCAAATAGACAAGGGGAGACCGAGCATGAGGCGCAGAGGCAGGGCGGCGGGTGGAGGGCAGGCCCTAGGGCCCCTCACTCAGGCGCCACTGGCTAGAGATGGCCCCAGCCTGGTGTCAACATGACCCCTGTAATGCAAGAAGCCATCAGACAAACGACCCACTGCCGGGAAGATTAGGGCAAACGGAACGTTTAAGTAGACATTAGATACTCTCTGCAGTGAGGTTCAAAAATGTCATCCCTGATGACACCTCAGAAGCTCGGCTGTCCCCTGGCCCGGGCATCTCAGCGCCGTCACGGCCTGGCGCATTCATCCGTGTGGCTGTTTTCGGAGATGACCCTACGTGCTTAGCAACAACTCTGGCGAAAGCCAGTTACGTCTGTGGCCAGGGAGCACAGCGCGTCTGAAAGCCTGCGGATTTAGAGTGAGCGTCCCCACACATCGGTTTTGTCCCCACCCTCCCAAGGATACTCTTCTCGGAGCCAATCTTTCTCCACTCCGGATAAGATAGCGACGACAGGCCAAAAACCAGCGTAAACTCCAAGGGGCCATCGCCCCCCTTGTTGGAACTCAAGCATCGCTGTCGTGGCCCCTGATGAGCTTAACTAAATTATCAGGGAGAGGACAGAGTTATTCTCATGACCACACATAGCCACCAACCCCACGCACTCTTGGGTTACCCAGATTTTTAAGCCACTCCTTGGAAGGAGGAGCCACTGAGCGAGGTTCGGGAACGGGGCAGCTTCTCACGTGGTTCCCTGAGCTCATCGGGGCTCGGCTTTCTCCCAGCTGTGGGGTTACCACGCTGACGGGACAGGGAAGGTCCTGAGCTCGAGCTGCATCACAGCCAGCAGCTCGGAGCAGGGACCCAGGAGCCCTGGCTTAAACCTCCCTGTTCCCTCGTCCTCAAGGTCATCCGTTGAAAAGTGGGTACACCTCAGGTCAGGAGGGACACGGACACTCCTCGAGGAGAACACTCACCCCACTACACCTCTTCCTATCAAGAGTAATCCCCGGCACATCCCAAGACCCTCTTGCCTGAGACATAGGCCCCTTTGCTTCTCCCACCCCCCTTGGGTTCCTCTGCCCTCAGCCCCGCGAGGACGTCTCCGGGGGCTCCCCTCCCAGCCCTTACTTGCCATCTCCTACCGTTGCCCTCCCCTCCCTGTCGCCACCCGTGCTGGCTGCCTTCACCTGCCCAGTGTCCCTGTCCCTGCCACAGCCCAGGTTCCCCCTCCAGCCTTGCCCCCTCAGGGCCAGCTCTCTGCCGCGTGGCAGTAGGGAAGAACGATGTGACATGAAAAAGCAGTCTCTTGCTGGGGGAGAAAGCAGAGACTGGTATCCCTTCAGGGAACAAAATAGTTCATCTCAGCCCCTTTAAAAAAAAAATGACCCTGATAATATTCTGTATCTTGATCTGGATGCTGGTTACCTGGAGGTAAAAATTCATTAAACTGTATCCTCGGTTCTGTGTTCCTTCCTGTGCACACGATGTTATACTTCAATATTAAAGCGTACCGTCAAAAGTCCATTCCAGCCACCATCACCAGGACAGTGGACCCTGAGACCTCCTGTGGCCTTAGCTCCTCTCTGCTCCACCCCAGGCCCAGATCTAGCACGTCAGCTGACTCTCGTGACCCGGAATCACCAGGCCCGCTGACAACAGCCGTGACGGAGGCCAGCCGAGCCCGAGGTTAGCCACTGGGAACAGCGTGGGGCGTTCCCCAAAGGCCGCTGCTCTGACATCCACTCTAGAACTGCTGCACCCTAACATTTCTCAGGTGGCAGCTCGGCTTCCTGGTCTACCTTAAAGCAACCCTTGGAATCAGGGTTGACCCCAAATGTGGTACAGTGGAAAGAGCAATGGATGGGGAGCTAGGATCCAAGAGCTGAACCCCTGCCCTGCCTCCAAGTCCCTCGTGACCTTAGGAGAAGTATCCGCTTTCTAGCTTTTGCTGCCTTACTGGGGGAGCTGGAGAGATGGGTCCATGATTGACGCCAACAGGGTCCAGGTTGCTTCCTTGTCTTCGCAGGCAAGAACTGCAGGCCTTGAGCGGTTGACCTGACCACCCTGGGATTTGTATTTGTGCATGTTCTTGAGTGTTATCAAACAGCTTCATAGAGGAGGTCTCTGGACAGTATTCTCTGAGCAAAAGTGAGGGGAGAGACTCAAACAGAAGGCAAAGCTGAGGGCTTGGAAAACGCACTGAAGGCAGGCCTCAGTTGTTGAAGATAAAAGAAAGACCCTCGAAATTTCTGCGATCGTTTTTAACCCTGTTTTTATTCCTCTCCAGGAGACCATTCATTCCCAAGAGATGACAGTGTACAACGTGACTGGGAAACTGATTTGATGGGGCTCCGGGTTAGACCCAAGGAAGACGCAGAGATGCCTCCTGGAGGAGGAGGGGAATGGCGGTAACGGCGCTCAGGCTTCCCCACAGGGGCCAAGGAGCCCTCAGAGAGCTGTAGGAAGGGGCGACGGAGGGCACTCAGCTCTAGCAAGAGGCAGAGTTTGCTGCAGGGGCTGGTGCTGGGACCGAGAGGAAGGCCCGGGGCCCCGGGCCAGCTCGGTGTCAGGAAAGACCTCTCGCTCTCTGGGCGTCTCAGGAGGGCTCAGGACCTGGCCTCTGATGCCTCTCCAGGGCCCGGGATGCCTTGGCCCCTTCTGCCAGCCTGCGGGTTAGCCCCGCGGGGACAGCCCAGGGGTGCCAGGGCCTCCAGCCCTCCGTCCTCTTGGGGCTCCATGCCCCGTCCTGCCACAGCCCCCCATGGCCTGCCTCACCCGAGTCCCCGGCTGAGTCCCTTACTAAGTCAATGGCTACCTTCCTCCCGGGTCTTCGTCTATGTGGCTTCCCCTGCCCGCTCTGTCCTTTCCACTGACCCAGGTCCCTCTTACCTTCAAGGCCTAACTCTTAATAAAAGAATTGTTCGTGGAGCCTGGGACACGTGCCTGAGGACTCGCCTGCTGCATGGTCTTGAACCTGATAGGGCAGGACAGGCTCCGAAAGGCATCTGAGCCAGCGCTCATCACCGAATCCACAGGAAAACAGCAGGGAGAAAAATGGCAAACTCATGGCTACTACTCTCGACTCAACACACAGATCTGGGGCTCAGAAGTTGGCACACGGCAAGCTCCTGACAGCCAACCAACCCTGAACTGAGAAATCAAAAACTTGCTTCACCCAACCAATCCCTTTCACCCGCGCAGCCCCGCGCTCCATAAACCACATCCCTGCCCTTGGTCTGAACACGGTCTTCAGGGGGCTGCTCTCCCCGCTGTGTGGCGACAGCCGTTCTCCTGGCTCATGAGCTGTGCACCTGTACCCAGCCCTGGGCTCAGAAGGGTGCTGCCCCTGGATTAATGGTCTTTTGTTGCTGTCTTGAAATTCTTAGTACATTTTCACTTTGCACCAGGTCCCACCAATGAGGGCTCTGGCCTCAAATAATTCATTTATAGTTAACATGAAGGCCCCATCCCTCAGGGCCCAAACCCTACGTGTTGGCTCAGGTTTTCTTCGCCTTGGTTAGTACTAAATTCAACATTGACTAAGTCTCATTGACTTTTCTATCCTTCTATCTCTGAGATGCTACCTTCTTGAGGTTCTCCTGGCTACTCCGGCCCTTCTTTATCTCTGGGCAGCACACACGCTCCTAACCAGGGGCGCACGGCGTAGTCCTCGACGTTAAGCATGAAGTGGCTTTGCTCTTCCTGGTAGGTAGCTGGCGAGGTGCCTGAGTGTACCTCTCAGCTTCCTAGGAGCACCCGGGGCATACAGTAAGCACCGAATAAATACTTGTTCATTTACTCACACACATTTACCTGTGTGTGTTATTAACGGACTGAAGCCTGGCATTCGCAATGTTTGCTGAGGCCTCGCAAAAGCTGCTGGGGGACTTTGCGCCCTGGGTGAGGGGTAGACAGTACAATATCAGTTAAGGGCATACGTGAAGATGGAGTACAAAGAGGAAGTTCATGAGCAACAAAATTTAGTGTGTGTAGAGTTCTGGAGAGACTTATTTGTTTTGTTTTTCACTACAAAAGCCTGGATGAGTTCAGCCTGCAGGATGGGCAACAAACATTGAAGAATGACCTATTCCATCGCATAAAAGCCACTGCCTGGTGTGAATCTAACATCCTTCGTGGGAATGTGGAGAAAGATGGTCTGGGGGGTGGGATGCGAAATGAGTCACTGAAAACAGGGCAAGACAATTTAACGACATCCCAACTTGGGGGAAATGCACCACCTAGAGCCGAGCAGATGGCAGGCAAGAGGTCTCTGTGGTGGTGCAGCACGGGGTCCCTCCCGCCAGAAGGTGATGGGCTCCAGGAAAATGCAAATCATTTTTCCCAAGTGACTCTACTTTAGGTAAAAGTCCCTTAAACGGATCGTGCCTACATCAGACACTTTTCAAGCCAGATCCCTCAAACCCAGATATCGGCCTTTGACGCATGCGGACCGGAGAACCCAAATCAGCTATTTCAATCCAAAGATAAAACCTGCAAACTGTGCCCCCTCTATTTTAAATGTTTGAATGGCGTCCTCTGGAATCTAGATTCTAGAGATTACTAGAACCGAGAAGAAAACACAAATCTCTGCCATTCCCTTGCTTATTTTATAAGCCAGCCAGGAAAGGAGAGCATCGAATCAGTCAGATTCATTTTCATCCCTCACAAGCCAATGTTCAATGGTCCAACACTGACCTGGCACTAGTTTGGGCCTCATCCTCTCAGGAAAGAATGCATCACCCTCTGGAGTATAAATTAAATGCATGCTCAGGCTTTTCCTTTCCTTTCTAGCAACTGTGTTGGTCTATTTCAAATATTTCTTCTAAGATTCACTTCTGAAAGTTCAATCCAGGTCCAAATCAGAGGTTCACACCCACTTTCTGCGCTCACCCTGAGCTCAGCACAGAGTCAGCCTGGTTCTGGAGGTTGCCCAGCACCTGCTCTCTCGGGAGTCCAGGCAATTTTCTGGACGGTCCCTGGAAAAACAGCACAGCTCAACGACTAAAGCACTCAGGATTTTTTTTTTTTTTCCCTTCAGAACCGAGAAATCTACTACCAGACTTAAAAGCAGGGGATGTGTGCAAATTCACTTCTAAAAACAGAAAATTTTAAAGGTCTCTATTTTTAATGATGCTTGCAATCCACACCGGGGCAGCCCTGTTTTTAGAACAGGATTGTACAAGTGTGCCTTTTGTGGCAATTAGCAGCGAGGACACGGAGAGCAAGCAGAGGAGGTCACGACAGCTAGCTGCACTTGGACCAGGATTGCAAGTGAAATGCTGTCCGGACTTTGCCAGCAGACCACCTGGTGACCCCATGAGGGGCTAAGTTTCCAAAAGAAACTTTACATTGAAAAGCAAGATGTTCCCACCAAGGATGCCAGCTTCAAAGGAGGAGCTCGATAGAGCCCTCTGGCCCGACCCCTCTTCCTCTGGGCGTTTGTCCTTTATGCATATCCTGTATTCCAAGCGATATCCTGCATTTCTTCTTAGCTTAGAACATGCTGCTATCTTTTTTTGGTGCTGCCATACAAATAGATAGTCTAAACTGGCATTTTTCACCTTCCTGGGGTTTGCTATGGAGACCTTAACTATCTTGGGGAGGCCTTAGTCTGGGGATGGTCCTGACACTTCCAGGCACAGAGGAGTCATTAGCATCTTGAACTCAGTAGGGCGTGCTTGTGTGACCGGCAGTGTGCTGTGCACACACGGGCTTCGCGAGATCACCCAGTGAGACCCACCAAGCACAAGCACCTCCACATAAGGGGAAAATGGCATCGGCTGTCTCACCTTCCTATTGTTCTTGATAATAGCCCCACAAATTTTGGGATGCAGGTGTCTATGGTGATGAGAGGACCGACTAAACTGTAAGGAAACTAGAAGTTTATTCCTGGGAGAAGCTGGGACGGCACTCTCGCCTCAGACTTCTACGATGTTAATAAGGTGTCCTAAGGATCTTATGAGCCTGGCAATCTCGTTTCTCATTACAGTATCTGGGGACCACTCCTCACTCAAGCTACACAGGGACTGCCACCAGCAAGACCAGGAGATGATTTCACACCTGCAAAGCAGGCTTCCTCCTCCCTGATCTGGCCCTGCCCCCAGATCTTAACTGTACACAAGCCAGACCATACCCAAGGCCCCATCCTAGGAGTTTCTGAAACAAAAAGAGGTTTCTGGGTTTCATCATCAGCCACCTTTTGCTTCTCAAATAAATTCAGTTCACAGTGGTCCAGAGGCAAGTTTGAAAATAAAGGTACAGCTCTCTTATGGCTCTTAAATCACTGCAATTAAACCCTTTTGTTATCTTGGTAAATATGGAAAACCTACTCGCCATGGATGCCTTATGCCACTCAGCTCTCCTTGGCAGCCCGTGTGGCGCTCCCCTTACCGTACACGTAGGAGATCCCCACGAGCTCAAAAATGGCAATGATGACGAGGGCGTAGGATGCGGCGTATGTGTCCACAAGCTGAAACATGTAAATTCCGCCCTGGTAGGAAAGAGAAACAACACCAGTGGGCATGGATCCAGGCTCTTCCCACTGTGAACCGCCAATCCTTCCATGCTGGGGAAAGTCAGGTGCAAGCAAAGAGTCAAAGGATCTCCCCTCCTCTTCACAGTAGTAACCTACACCTGGTCCAGTACGCAGGCTGGAGGCCTGGCCGTGTTGCAAATCAGGCCCTCAAGAGACTCTGGGTCGATCAATAGAACAAGCGCAGAAAAGTGATCTAACATCTCACCCTTAAAAGGCAAAAGTCAACCTCTGAGGATGTGTAGGTAAAAGCAGGCTGAGGGCTTCATTTCTGCCTTAAGCAATAGACCATCATTTCTACCCATAAGTCTGCATTGACTCACCTTCACATGACCTTTAGGTGTCGCTGAGCATTCCTCACACATCCCCCTGCATCTTTACTTCGCTATTTATGTCTCTCTACAACAGATGAGGCTTAGAGACCCTCTTATTCCACTTCATCATTTCACGGATGGAGAAACTAAGGTCCGCAGTGGTGCCTTGCTCAAGGTCACAGAGAGAGCAAAAGCAATATAGATGCTGAGGGAGCTAACACTCAATTTACCAAGACACTCAGGACTTCGAAGGAAACCCAAAGCTGTTAGACTCCCATGTCGAAAGAGTAATCAACTGGGAATTTCTCTGGTCAGTAAATTTGGATCGTCGTGTCATATTTTCCTAAAGGAGGACACACCTGCCTTGTTGGCCCAAAAAAGCTACATCTCAATTATGAAGATGCTACAAGTGACACCAGCAGCCAAGGCGACATGTTTCCATCTGTGCACAGAATCCCTAATGGCCTGGTGCGGTCTACACAGAAATGGCAGAGACTGGCTACCGTTATGAGTCGGAGAGCGGAGGGTGAAAGGACAGATGAGCCTTCGGGCCCCCGCAGGACCCGTCCCCAAGCCTGTGGCCAGTCGGGCTGCTCACCTGAGTGATCATTGGGAAGCCCATGATGAAGAAACAAATACAGCAGCCCAGAGTGAAGACCGGCTTGTGTGTGCGCAGGTACTTGGGGAACTCGTCCGAGATGGAGGTCACGATGGTCTCGATGGTGGCAAACTGGAACAGGGCCAGGAAAGGAGCCGCTGAAACAAGCCACCCAACCCCAAAGCTTCCCCAAGCCCTTTGTGTTTCCCACCAGGGAAAGCTGTAAGTGCATTAGATTTGGTTCTTAGGCCCACATTCCCCTGATGGCTCTAAAGGGCTTTGTTGGGGTCCAACCCACAAGGCCAGCAATGGGGATCCAAGAGGATGGACGTGAGCTTGAGAAGCTGCCCCTCCAGCCCCCAGAGACTGCACTCACACTCATCCATCAGGACATTCCAAGCTTCACTTTGTATTCATGAGATGTAAATTCCTTTCCTCGAATTTGATCTTCTGCTTGAGGAAAAACCCTGTATGCACCCAACCACTAAACTCCGAGTGCCTGTCAGCAGGATTTGTGGCAGTCTCGGCCCCCTGGGCAATCTTCCTAAAATCGACCTCATATTTTTGTCCCTGATCCAGCCCCACAGAGTCTGCATCGACAAAACGACACCAAAGCAGGAAGTACACACACTGACACCTGCACGGAGGGTGGAGGGAGGGAGACAGGACGGCTTCTTTGCACCATCCCATGGATCACCCACAAATACAAAGCTATCCTGAGCCCTGGGCAGGCACCTCACCATCCTATATCCCTCTGGAAGCATTCGGGGACCCCCCGAGCCCACCCCTGCCACAGGGTAGAGGCAGGGCCCAGGAGAGAGGGTCTTCAGGAGGAGCCGCAGGCAGGCATCGTCGGGAGAAGGGAAGGGGCTCACCATGGTGTCAAGTCCAAGAGTGAGGAGCATCAGGAAAAAGATGATGGCCCAGAATGGAGATAGGGGCAGCCTGGTTAGGGCTTCTGGGTAGACCACAAATGCAATGCCTGGTCCTGAAAGGAACAAGACAGATGATTGCAGCCGGGCCCAGCTCCAGGCCCCCTCTTCCTGGAAGCCCACAGGGGCCTCTCCACAGACATATTATGTGTTGCTTCCACCAGTGGTTATTTTCCCTCATCTCCTTCCATTCCCCAGGTAGACCCCAAGTTCCTTGAAGGGAAGGATCAGGGGAATCAGGTCCACACCTCAGGGACCTCAGAGGGGAGACAAAATTAGTGCCAAAGCAGAGATTCAGTCCAAGGCCAGGCTGTGTCCCACGCATATACCACAAAACCCCTCACCTTTGTGTTGATGAGTTGGGGCCGCATATAATCATTACCCTGTAGAATGGTGATTCTCATCCAAGGGTGAGTTTAGGCCTCCACCCCTACCCAGGGGACACTGGGCAATATCCAGAGACATTTTTGACTCTCATTAGTGGGGTTGACGAGGTGGGGAGGCAAGTGATGACTGACAACCAGTGGGCAGAGGCCAGGGGTGCAATGCCCAGGACTGTCCCCATGAAAAAGAATTATCCAGCCCAAAGGTCAAGAGTGCCGAGAACTCCAGCTCCACAGGTTAGACCACACCCAGACTGACATCATTTCCTCCCTATTCAGCCCTCCAGGAAAAGCCTTTTGCAAAAATCACGAAATCATCTACCGCCTTAATTATCTTGCCTTACAAAGGCTTGTTAAAGATGGGGCTAAGGATCGGTGGGTAACCAGTTGGGGAGAGGGGGCTGCGAGGCCCGTGGAAAGGTTGAGAGAGTCCGACGCTAAGGGGCAGACAGATCCAGGTCCAAATGCAGACTCCATGACCAACGGCTATGCAACCCTAGACAAGTTATCTCATCTCTATAGGCCTTAATTTTGCCCATCTGTAAAATGGGACTAGCAATAGTGCCTCACGGGGGGTTACGAGGAACAAACGAGAGACCGCGGGCAGAGCGACGAGACCAACGTCTCACACGTCATCAGCCCTCACGGAATATTCACTGTTACTACGAGTGGACAACGAACTTGGAAATCAGCAGCTCTGAGTCAGACGTGTCCGCAAGGACGGCATGTGGTCTTGGCAGAGGGTGTGTGAGCGGCTGTTCCTCTGCCCTCATAAAGCCTGCCCGCCGCTCCCCTCTGCCTCACAGCCTCACCGGGAAGACTACTGTGACCCATGGTGGCTGAAGACCCAGCAGTCACACATTTCCTCGTAAACAGAAAAGGAAATGACAGTGGGCAGAGACAGGCCAAAGCCGGGCTAATCCGCAGCCAGCGCACGTCTGGAAACCAGCTCCTGCAGCACCTGGAGCTTTTATGACTCAAGCATAACAGCACTTTTTTAAACTGGAATTTATCAGGTTGTTAGTTCTGAAGGCTGCCGAGGGCCTTGGGGTATTTAAAATATAAAGCCTTGAACGCCTGAGATGGCCCCGCTTTATGCGCGGATTGAACAGACGGTACCGCCGGCCTCTGAAGGCTCCCCACGTGAACCAGGAAAGTCTGTATTAAACTACAGTTCAAAACAGGTCTCCAGTGCAGAACACCGAGGAATCCAGTTCAGGGCTCGGGCGACAGCTGGGCCCATAAAGCAGACAGGAAGGTCTTGAAACGGCCCCTACCTGCGGATCCCATTGATTGCTTTACCAGGATCGGGCCCTGTGGGCTTCACTGCCTTTGCAGGGGGCAGGGAATGATTTCAGAATATTCAGTCTGCTTCCATTCCATCTGCCTCCCTGAAGTACGGGGGTGAAGGCATCGTTTCCAGCAAACTCAGTCCATATAAGACGGCTGGGCAGTGGACTTTTAAAATACATTTTTATATGACTTTGTACAGTTCAGTTTCGTTCCTTAACTGGAAAAGTGGATTGAGTAGGTGCCCGCAGAGCTTTCCCCAGAGGAGGCCCATATGTCCCATAGAGGCCCAGTCCCGTTGGCCTCCTCTCCCCCGGGAGGCAGCGTGAGGATCGCCCAGGGGCTGGAGGGCAGGCTCCAAGCCTCTGCAGTGGGGACAGTGGGACCTACCCTCATGGTGCTTCTGGGAGAACGGAACGTATCGATGCAAATAAAGGGCTCAGAACAAAAGTGAGAACTCAGGGAACAGAGACTAACACGCTTCCCAGGAGAGGTTCGGCTACGCCAACAATTTGGACAGAGGTCTCTGCGGTCCTTGACCCCAGGTCACACCCGGGGCTCTGGCCATCGCAGGCCGTCACGGTCCCCGCACAGTGCGCCAGGTCACTCTGCTGTGAAGCCTCTCGCAAATGGGAAAGCTCTCAGAGGATACGCTGCCTGGACCCCTGCGCTTTGGGGAGGAAGGCCTGGCATCCAGGTGACAGACAGACGGCAGACGGACGGTCGGCCCCTGTCCAGAGTGCTCGTGTTCACCAGCAGCGTCTCTGAACCACTGAGGACCTGGGCCTGGGAACTCCCAAGCCAGCACGCATGTCAGGCTTCCTGACGGTCGATGAGCGTTTCTGCTGCCCGCAGAGCTTCCCATTGGATTCGGATTCGGACCATGAGTCTCGGCTGCACAGGCAGCAAGGCAGGTGGTCGGAAGGGGACCCTGAGGGCTGACTTCCCCGAAAGGTGCTTCTCTGGGGCAGATGACTGAGCAGAGCGTACCCCCTTCCCCACGCTCATGGTAAAAGCGGAGGGCAGCCTGGCGTCCCCACCAATCCCATCCTCACCCCCCCTAAAACTGCCCGAGAGCTGGAGTAATGACTGACAAGAATGCCTCAGGGGGGCTGGTAAACGAAATAGAACAGCGCTGGGTCCTTCCAGAGACCCTGTCTTGGACTAAAGACCGAAACACAGTCACTAATGCTGGATCAGCAAACACCATACAGAATGTCTGCGAGCCAGCGCTGCCCAGCTAGGAGGAGGGGGCGCTGACCGCAGGCCCCCCCGAATCTCCATCCCGAGAAAATCAGGCGTCCAGCAAATAGCATTGAAGAATGCAGGGAAACTCAGAGGAACGGGGATAGCTGCCCCCACGGGGAATGAGGCCCCCCGTCCCCGTGCTGGTGACCCCACATCGCCAGACACTAACACAACGTTAGTACCTGTAAGAAGCAGTCTTCTCGCTGTTTAAATCAGAGGAAGTGAAAAGTATCTGGAAAGGGGACGTTGCAGAAAGAAACACAGGCGAGTCTTTGTCTTGCTTTGTAAACGAAAAACAAAATTCTGTCTGGGTTTTAGCAAAGTGTGACACACACACCCCCCCCCCCAAGCCCCTTTCCCGGGCCAGGGAAGGGGAGCTGAGAAGACTTAATTCCACGCAAGCCGGCAACACAGCCACTACTAGCGCACCTGAGCTTGGGAAGGTCACCGAAATCACAAGCACATCAGATCTGCTGGGAAGGACCTCCCTGCTGTAGCTGTGCTGCCTGCCCGGGGGAGACGAGGGCAGCTGGGGTGGCCGAGGCACCCCTGAAGAGGAGGCCTTCTCTCCCCGCCCCGGCCCCCCTTGCTCCCCAGGGAGCTGAGCATTCACAGCCAGGCAGGGGCGTCCACTCAGCAGCTCCAATTTAACGCCCTGCTGCAGAAGCAAACCTCCCTGGGGGTTTAACACTCTTTCCAGGGAGAGGTAATTACCCCCCTGGAACACGCCAGCTCTTAACTCTTTGAGGCCCGCTGTGCACCAGCAGCACCGCTGAAGCCATAATTAATTATCCCCGGGAGCCAGCAGAGAGCCAGCAGCCCACCAAGAAGGTGACATTTCTAGGACTTCCTTCCCTCGGGTGCTGGCATCCGAGCCACGATCTGAGCATTGCAGTGAGCTCCGTAAGTGAAGGTAACGGCACAGAGAAGCTGCTCACAGGGACACACCGTGGACTGTCAGGTGCCCACAGTCCCTGGCACGGTCCCGACCCTGAGGCATCCCACAAACCCCTCATTAGAGAAGGATCATAATAACAGGCAAGAGCCACAATGAAATCCGTCAACCGTGGAAACCTCGCAGACACCCAAATCCTTCTGGAGTCAGGCTGGGTGGAAGTAGAACAAGACTTAGGAATATTAAACCCGACCTACAAAATGCTGCGCTGGAAATACAGACTGAGATAAAAACGAAAGCTCTCTGTAAACTCGGAAGCACCACACAAATGTTAGCCATTAATATCGGGAACCCTCGGGGACGTCTGGTGGCTCAGTGGTTGAGCGTCTGCCTTCGGCTCGGGGTGTGATCCTGGGGTTCCCTGGGGGGTGTGCCCCATCGGGTTCCCCACAGGGAGCCTGCTTCTCCCTCTGCCTGTGTCTCTGCCTCTCTCTGTGTGTGTCTCTCATGAATAAATAAATAAAATCCTAAATATACATATATATATATATATATATTCAACACAGGAGGGTTCCATATAGAAGTATATGGAAGCCTTGGATAGGAAGTCAACATTTATTCTACTTCCCTCCCACCACCACCAGCCAACCTTTCCACCCACTGGGGGAAAAAAAGATGCAGGTCTGCATTGCTAGCTAAGCAGGAGGCCCGGAGAGCACGCAGAAAACGCCTTGTCAGGAAAAGGCTGCTCTGAAGTCAGTGCTCCTGTTGAGCGTGAGCTCTGGGTTTGTCCTGAGCTCTGTGCAAGGAAGGCCACCCTGCAGCAGGCTGTGCCCACACCAGCTCCAGGGGCACCAGGCTGCCTGAAGACCACTCTATCTGTCCCCAACAGGCGGAACAGCTGTAGATCTGACTTATTCGGGCTGGAGCTGAAGTAAGAGAGGAAAGAGAAGACAAGGCAGGGGAGAGGGCCGCAGGACTGGGCTCTTATGGCCTCCCTCCTGGTGAGGACCCGGCGGCTCTAGCCCTGCCTGAGCTTCCAGCTCAAGCTCGTCCGAGCCTCCCCACACAGGGGGCCTGGGCTGTCCCAACACCCCTCCGATTCCAGAAGGCCAGCTTCCCAAGATGGCATAGGTCAGGAGCCCGTGAGGTGACCGTACCTTGGTCTGCCACGTTCTCAATGTTGACTTTGCGTTCGTTGGCCATGAAGCCAATCACCGAGAAGATGACAAAACCGGCAAAGATGCTCGTGGCACTGTTGGTGCAGGTTACAATTAGGGTGTCCCTGGGGAGGAAGAGACAAGAGTAGGCCGTTAGGTGTCCTCTGTGAGCAGGAAGGGACAGGGGGTAGGACACATAAACGTGGCCCGTGTGTGGTTTGCACATGTGTATGTGCGTACGCGTCCATTTCTTAACATGTTATCACAATAGGCTGGAGAGTCCTGACCAAAAGGGTCCAAAACATTTCTCCTGACCTCCCTGTTCCAGGCCTCTGGGTCAGAGCTCTAGCTCCACGAGCTCTCCAGCCAGGGCTCCGCTCTCCCAAGTGGCAGAAGCAAGACTGTCCAGCAGAGCAGGAAGGGATGGGATGGGGCCTTTCAAGGACTCCAGCCCGGACCATGTATCAGAGAAGAGAAGGCAGTAGGACCGTGAAATGCCACCCAGGCTTGAGAACAGGAGCACACGAAGCGCAGGGGGGTGAGGCAGGTGAGACGGGCCCTCTATTGGTAATACGGTCCCCAGGCTGCACCCAGCCAGCCTAGACTCAGGAGACAGGTCAAGCCACATGGAGCCTCAGAGACAATTCAAATCCGGATGGCGGTAGGACCTTCTCTCCACTGCCATTTTAAGTGGTGGCAATGACCCCACCTTCCTCACAGGTTGTCAGGACAGGACCAGACGATGCCCGCCCAGCGCAGTGCTCAGCAAACAGCCCACCTTGTCTGGGCCTTTAGTTTACTGATGAGGACACTGAGGCACCGGGAGGAAGAAATGGGTTCACTAATGGGTCAGGATTTGAATCCAGACTCCCTGCCTCAGCCCCGTGCTCCTTCTGCCAAACGGCAGAGGCTCCCTTCTACCAAAGTGCAGAGCCCTAAGCACACTGCCCTCGGACGGCGTTCGGGCCGGTTCTCGGGTCATAAATTAATAAGCAGCTGTGACCAAAGAAGTTCACACGCCCTAGCTGGCACTCCAGCTGCTACGGGCTCAACTGTGTGCTCCCGGACAACACTCTATCTGTGTTGAACTCTAACCCCCAGTTCTTCAGAATATGACTGTATTTGGAAATAGGGTCTCTCTACAGGGAATTCAGTTAAAAGGAAGTCGTCAGGACCTGATCCAACATGACTGGTGCCCTCACAAGAAGAGGAGATTAGGACGTAGATACACACACAGAGGGAAGACCACGTGGAGACGCGGGGAGGTGACGGCCATAAATATCAGAGGGAAGTCTCAGAAGAAATCAACCCTGCCAGCACCCCGATCTTGGCCTTCCAGCCTCCAGGACCGTGAGAAAGTTAATTCCCGTTGTGTAGACCCCACGCTCTGCGGTCTTTGTTACAGCAGCGATCGCAAGCTAATACGCGGGCTCTCTCCAACCTGACCCCAGCTGCGCTCAGGCCGCTTGCCTTCCAGCCTCCTGCGCACACACAGCTTCCACTCCAGTCCCCGGACCTGCTCCCACCCCACCTCCCCATCGCTTTCCCACTCGGGCCCACCTCTCACCGTTCCTGCCCCCTGGAGTACACTCCCACCTGCCCCGCACCTGCTGGAATCTGGCCCCATAGACATCTCACCCTTATGGAGCCACCCCAGCCACTCAGGTCACAGCTTGACTATAATCTAGTCCTCTTGGCTCACAAAATAGCTCATGCATTGTTAGAAAATGATGATAATAATGATGATGATAATAACAATAATAATAATAATAATAATAATAATGGCAGCTGCCGTTTATTGAGTACCTATTATGTGTGAAATGTTGTTGTGAGATCTGTGCATACATCAGCTTTTATCTCTCTAGAAAATGTTATTATGGGCATTTTATAGATGATTGGAAAGAGGCTCAGAGAAGTATCATGCCCACGTCTTGAGTTCTAGTAAATGGTGGAGCCATAATTCAAATCCGAGTCCATCTGGCCCTGGGCATGCTTGCTTCCTTCCTTCCCTTGTCTCTTTCTCTCTCTTCCTTCTTCCTTCCTACCTACTCTCCCTCCCTCCCTTCCTTCTTCCCTCCTTCCTTCCCTTTCTATTTAAAATCAGCTCACCAGGAGAACGGACCTTATTTTCTCATTGCTCACCATACATGTGCTCAACTTTCAGGTGTCCCCTCCTCCAGGAGCTGTCCAGGCTCTCCCAAGTGGCGCTCGTTGGGGCTCTAGAGCCCCTGGTCTACGATCACGCCATCCAAATGTACCAGAATTTCCTGAGGATCCCACCGGGACATGGAGATGCCTGGGCCCGCCCCATCTCCAGACACTCGGATTAACAGATCCGGAAGGGAACTCAAATTTTGCATCGCTTTTTCAGCTTTGCTGAGGTGCACCAACAAATACAAATACAATTTGTCTTTAATATACTTAAGGCGCACAAGCCGATGATGCGACGCACACAGGCACCGTGCAAGGCCCCCACGTTGCCTACTGACCCTCCCGTTAGTTAACACATCCATCAGCGGAGCCCCCTTCCCACCGCACCTTGCCGCCTTTCCTGCAGGGGTCTGTGGGAACATATCTGTCAAGGGACAGTGACTGTACTTGAGGGGGGACCCTCGGGCTGCGTCCACAGCTCCCAAATCCCAGGATGCAGCCAGCGCCTCAGCAACCCCTGCAGGGTTCAGGTGCATCCCGTGAAGAGCCCCGCAGCCCACGCGTCCCAGAGAGCAGCGCAGGCGGGATCCAGGCCGCCAGGAGCCAGCGGCTCGGCCTTAGCAGGTGGCAACCTCCCGGCTGCACCCCAGGGCCAGGTGCCGGCGTGGCCGTGGGTGTCTGATGACTCAGCCCGTCGCCCTGTCCCCAGATCCCCACCCCGCTCCCGAGCCCTGGGGTACCAAGCGCCTCCGCATACCTGTAGCAGTTATTGTGGAATTTGTTGTAGGAAGAGAGAGTGATCAGGCCTCCCCATGCGGCGGACAGCGAGAAGAAAATCTGGGTGGCCGCATCCTTCCACACCTGGGAGGCCAAAGGGGAGAAGACCCAGGGTCACTGGAGGGGGCCGGCCCGGGCAGGGGAGGTCCCCCGCCCAGCGCCACATCACGTCCCCAGAAAGGCCGTCAGGGGGCAGATGGCTTCAGCACCAACTTACTGGCTTGTGCTGGGAGCCCGGAAGGCAGGACCTCACCCGGGAGATGGCAACTGCCTTCCAACCAGGGGACAGGGGCTCCAACTCCCCGCTCCAGGCCTCTACGCCCTGCGCGGGAAACCGGGCGCTCGGGGGGGAGCCCTGCCTCCACTGCCCACGCTCCCAGAACCACCGCCACGGCCCAGCACACTCAGGGACACGAGACAAGTATCTGCTCAACCTGACATCCCCGCAGACGTCAGCTATTAAAGATCGGAAGTTCTACAGCCCCTCCCCTTCGCCGTCCAGGAGTGCCACCCGCCGTGAATGTCACAGGGCACGGCCTTCTTGAACGTGGCTGACACGTCCCTTGCTTCCTGCGTGGTTTCCCTTACTTGTCCTACGGGGTTAGAGCTAGAGGCCGCTCAGGGGTTAGGCTAGAGATCTGTGTGATCCGTAGAGTAGATCTCCCATCAACGGGACACCCGGGGGGCTCAGCGGTTGGGCGTCTGCCTTTGGCTCAGGGATCCCGGGGTCCCAGGATCGAGTCCCACATCAGGCTCCCTGCATGGAGCCTGCTTCTCCCTCTGCCTGTGTCCCTGCCTCTCTCTCTCTCTCTCTATGTCTCCCATGAATAAATAAAATCTTTAAAAAAAATTTTAAAAAGCAAGTGACTGCTTTAAAAAAAAAAGAACTTCCATCATTTTTATAGATTGAATCCAGATTTAAAATTGTGCTTATACAAATGATATGCCACGTTAGAAGGAAGAACTCATTCATCCCATTTAATACTTAGAATTTCTGATGCTGGCTACAGAGTTTCCAAAACTATTGTTTTTTCTGAATCACTATTAGATACTTCCACTACAGAAAGTTGAGAAGCATGGACATTTCCGGCTGTCTGCACAATTCAAAATGACAGATACCTTGCTGTTATAAGTAAGAATCTATTTAGAACATGATTATTTTAATCCATATAATGTCAGCAAGTTTATCCATTCTTGATGGCCTTGCTTAAAAGCCACTTCCTCCAAAAACTCCCTAATACCTTCAGTCAAAATTATATTTCTCAGTCTCAATTCTTATAGTATTTTATGCCAATTTGTGATACAGTCCCATTTTGTGAAAATGTTTGCACTGTTTTCATGTGTGTGTTTTCTATATCTATTCAATAAATTCTTGAGAGGAAAAAAATAAAATAAAATAAAATTAAAATAATAAAATAAAATAAAATAAAATAAAATAATAAAATTGTGCTTATAATATGCACAGAGAAAGTTCCAGTGTGCGCCAGCCAGTCCCATTGTCCCACGCTCCTTAGTAACACAGCTGTGGATCTACGTAAAGGCACCGGTTCGGCCTGCGAAAGGACCGTCTCCCAGCACCCAGGGGAGGTGCAGCGAGGACAGGATAACCAGAGGATTTAGTTTCTGACCAATGATGTGAATATCAAGTGTCATGTGCGACTTCCGGGGTTTCTCCTTTCTCAAAGAGAGGGGGGTACCTGTTTCCACCTCTTTCCCCATCCCTCTGTGCTACCTGGAATGCTGATATGATGGCAGGAGTTCTGGCAACTGCGTGGAAGTGAGTCACTGAGGATGGAAAGACGGAAGCCTGGGACGCCGTGGACCACCCGGCCAGCACTGCACTCTGTGCCACGTGGCCGCTTCAGTGCACACGAGGGGAATAAACTGTCCTGTCCACACTGTCATCATCTGGGGGCTTTCTGTTACGTGCAGCTCAAGCCCAATCCAAGCTACGTATTCCTCACGTGCTCTGGAAAAGCAAGTTTTTCTTTACGGTGAGGAAATTCACTTATTAAATAATCCCCTCCTTTGGAGGTTTGGGGACTGGGGACTTTCAAGGAAGGCAAGCCTGAGCAGAATATGCAAAGCGCAAGTACAAGCATGTGCTGGCCCCTGTTGGGGGGGCCGGGGGGCTGCAAATGTGTCTCAGCCCTTTACGTGATCACTGTTGTGGTTTGCCTGAGTGCTGCTACCGTCCACCCGGCAAAACTCAGATGAGTGGCGCTGCACTGCGGGCCCGCATATAGGACAACCACGTGGGGCAAGCACCCCGGGGATCAAAGGACCCCCCAGCTGCCCAGGTCTCATTAAAGACTCAGAATGGTCCGAGGTTATCGGGCCTTGTGAGGGGGCAGGGAGCCTGACCCAGGGCGGGGGTCCTCCCCGCTTGCAAATGGAAGCATAAGCCCACCGTGGCATCCGTGAGCTTCTCCCACTTGGGTGTGATGAAGTACCAGATCCCAGCGCCGGCTCCGGGCAGGGTAATGCCGCGGATGAGGAGGATCACGAGCACGACGTACGGGAACGTGGCCGTGAAGTACACCACCTGGAAGCAGCATCGGGAAGAGTGAGTGCGACGACAGGCCTGCAGGCCCAAGGGGCATCCACGGAGGTGGAGGGTCGCTTGCCCACCCACCCCCACGCAAGCGCCTCGTAGGGAGGGCATCAGGGCAGTTTCCCCCAATTCTCCCAGGGCTGGGGACACAGGGAAGGCACTGGGACCCAAGATCAGAGAGAGCCAGGAATGGAGTCTGGGGGGAGGGGGGCTCCGCTGCCAACTGCCCAGGGAAGGAAGCTGCGTGCCTCCCTCCGCCCTAACTCCGACCCCAGCCTCCGCTTGAGGACCCCAAATCCAGTAGAGACGAATCTTTTGGCTTAAGCTTTCCATCCTTGTTTACGCAGACACCCTAAGGGAGGCGGCCTGGTGAGGTGAGAAGAGCATGATTAGAAACACCTAAGTTCAAATGAAATCACACGTCCAGCAAGGGGTCGCTCTGAGACCGTGGACAAGCTACTAAGTGCTCTGATCTGCTTCTGCCTCTGCAAACTGGACACAATGACACCTTAAAAAAAAAAAAGGCTGTGTGGATTAATGAGCCACCAGTGTAGCCTGGTTTATGTAATAGGTGGTCACTCAATGCAGTTAAGCTCAAAAGCATTTATTGATGACCTGCTATGAGTTGGATGCTGTGCCAGGTATCTGATGTCCAAAGATGAAGGGACTCGGGACCTAGAGACAATGTCTGCATAATGGGCCCCGCCACTGCACCCAGGACACTGTGAAGTCCAGGGGGGCTGCTGTACTACTCAACTGGGAGTTTCCTAAAAGATTTATGGAGATGACATGTGAGCCAGATCTAGAGGCCAAGGACAGCTTGAGGGAGGTGGGGGGAGGTGGAAGGTGGAGGAGGAAAGCAGGCGAGGCAGGGGTGTGAGAGCAAAAGTCTGACGACCCACTATTACGATGGCAGAGAGTGGAGGCTAAGAGTGATGGGGGGCCCTGGGAGCATGGGGGAGGAGACCACACCGTGGGAGGCCTTGAATGCAGGTCAAAGGATGCTCCTGGATTCCCTCCTGGAAGGGACCAGAGTCAAAAAAACATTTGGGAAGTAACATCAGCATAACTTGGGGACTGTGGCTGGATGGGACTTATCTGTCAATCAAATGTCTTCGTAAAGGAAGAGCTTGGGATCAGGATCCCATTCTATGAGCCTGAGCTCAAATCCCAGCCCCCTCACTTATGAGCTGGGCCACTTGGGAAATGACTTAACTTCTCTGAGTCTCAGTGTCCACATCTGCAAACAGGCGACAACGACAGAATATTCCTCACAGGGCTCTGGGAGGAGTACACTGGGACGATTCACATGAAATTCTGCAGGCCTGGGGCACTGGCAACAGAAGCACCGCTCTAGTCTTGCCCAGGATTGGCCAGTTCTAAACGTGACAGCACTGACAACCCTCTGCTCACAAGCCAGATGAATCCCACAAAGTGCATCAAAAGGGGCAGCCCGGGTGGCTCAGAGGTTTAGCACCACCTTCAGCCCAGGGCGTGATCCTGGAGACCCGGGATCGAGTCCTGCGTCGGGCTCCCTGCATGGAGCCTGCTTCTCCCTCTGCCTGTGTCTCTGCCTCTCTCTGTGTCTCTCATGAATAAATAAATAAAATTAAAAAGAAAAAAAAAAGACCCTGCAAGGATGAGGCTAGGCACTCACCAGGCCCTCTCTGATCCTCGAGGTGGCCGTATACAGCCACCTGGGCAAGCACATTTGGTTCTGAGCCGCCCATTCCCACATTCCCACCTGCAGTCTTCCCTCCTGGCCCACCTGGAACACCTGTCTGTACAGACTCCGGGGCCTGGCAGGGGGCTCCAGAACAGCAGTGAGTGGCAGGCCCTGGGTTTTCAGGGCACGAGGACCGATTCAGGGACTTGCAGAGGGGGGCGGAAGGAAGGCCAGGATTGAGTCTATGATGTAACTCTTGGGGTCACTTCATTAAACATTTGGGTTTATCAGTAAACACAACACAGACCCTCTGCAGCCCCCTACTCACCTGCCTCTCTCTCCCTTGAAGTGAAACCCAAAGGCATCTGACATCTCAGGAGAAAACCATCGCTCTAGGACCCCCCAGGCTGTCTTCTGGGCTATGGGATAGGGCTGGGGGGGAAGAGGTGACCCTGACCAGTCTGACCTCCCCACCCCACCAAGACAGTAGGGCAGGTGACAACAGAGGAATATCCTGTTCAGTTCACCTCCTGGCCGTGGGGGCTGGTGGGAAGTGAGGACAGAAGGACACAAGGGAGAAGGGGTGACCTGGGCAGCAGGGGCCGGCAGGAGAAAGCCACCGGAATGGCACCGGCCTACCCGGCTGAGACACCTGTTCTCATCTGCCTCCTGGAGACTGCTTGCCCACCACCATTTCTGGAGCTTCCTCTACGGATCAGCTGTGAGGAGCCCCATTTTGCAAAGAAGAAACTGAGGCTCCAATCAAGCATTTCACAAGGGGTTAAACATCTCACTTGAGGCCTCCCAGCTGGAGCCAAGACCCAAACCTAAAGCTCCCTAATTCCAAACCCTCTGTTCTGTCCCCGGAGGCCACTCTACGGGCCACGTAATCAGAAATGGGTGGGGGCAGAGCTGGGACAAGGGTGGAGCAAGTGAAGCACCTTGGGGGCGATGTTTAGGGAGGCACTCACTCTCGGGGGCTGACCGCACACTTTCAGGGGCCCCGACAGCGAGTGTCACCTTGAATTTCGCCACCCTAGGCACTCGCCTGCCGCACCCAGGTCCAGGCCCTGGCGTGGGGGATCATGCGCTCGCTTTGTAGATGGTGATCGTGATGAACTAAAAGGGCCCACGGTCTGGCTCCTAAATCCTGGGGATTTGGGACTCAAATTCGAGTCAGGTGTGCACGGAGGTTTCACGCACAGCTTGTGCTGGGGGCTGGATGGGGGGGTTCAGAACGCGCTTGTTCCAGGATGTACTGTCAGAGGAACTGAACTCCAAGGTAAGGAGTTCTGTGTGGCAGGAGTGACAGCGCCCAGTTGATCTGAGCCCGCGGCCCGACACCTGGCTGCATCCTGCTCTCGGGGGAGCTCTGAGCAGGCAGTGAGGCAAGGCCCCAGCAGCCGGTGCTAGCTAATGAGGTCGGCCTCGGCTTCGTGTTGTTGCCCTGAGCTCACACGGGCCGCATTTGACCTTCAGGCATCCCCCTGGTCGCCGGGCCCGGGATTTCTAGCTACTCAGAGGGAGACCGAGTCTCTTAGGAAGCAACAGGTCATTCCTGTCTCCTAGGGCCCCCGCACAAGACGAACTGAGCTCATCTTGCTGCAGGAGAGGGGGGTATCTCTGTCGCTCAGAAACGGCAGGCTGACAGTCTTCGGTCATAAGGAGGAGGTCAGCCGTGCATTCACCTGGGCTTCCCAGCAGTGCTCCATGACCAATGTCCGCACACCCCAGGGCAAGACAATGAATTGGGACTATTTCTGGTGGCATCCCTCATTACAAGAAAAAAAAAATGATCACTGATCCTTAGTTGGCAGCCGTTCTCAATGAAGCAGGATGGTAAGTTAGCAGATCTAGAAGAAAAGCTTACCTGCTCAGGGCTCCTCAAGAGTTCCCACACTAGAAAGCCCGAGCACCAAGATTAAACCCTAAATCGACAGAAAGAACTAGATGTAACACTGTCCTGAAAAATCCTGGACTGGGAGGCCTGGGTGGCTCCGCGGTTTAGCGCCGCCTTCAGCCCAGGGCGTGATCCTGGAGCCCCGGGATCGAGTCCCACGTCAGGCTCCCCGCAGGGAGCCTGCTTCTCCCTCTGCTTGTGTTTCTTCCTCTCTCTCTGTGTGTGTCTCTCATGAATGAATAAATAAAATCTTTTTTAAATAAATAAAGGGAAACAGACCTAGGTTCAAATGCCACCACTGCCATTGTAAAAGCCGTGTGACCTCAGGCAGTTTACTCCACCTTGAGGAGTCTCACCTTCTCCGTCTCTAGAATGGGAATAAATATCCTTACCCCGCAGGCTGCCGCGCAGACTGAATGAACCAGCGCCTGAGCAGCAGTTAGCCCGGTGCCTGGCACACCGGCTCAGCAGAGCCCATTTTCTCTCCCCATTTCCCCTCCAGAGCCACCGCTTCCAAGATGTCACAGTGGCGCAGTGCCCACTCAACACACCCGTCATTCATAATCAGAAAAATGGGAAAAGCTAAGGCTGGCGCGGAGCTGACCACATGCCCGTACTGTATGTACCTGCATGACCTCAGGGAATCCTTAGAACAATCCTACGTGGTGCGTACCGATATCCCCAACTGACAGATGCAAACACTGAGGTCTGTGGGTGGAGTAGTTTGTGTCGTTTCACAATGAGAAAGTGGTAAAGGCAGGAGTGGAACTCACGCAGACTAACTCCAGAGCCAGCAGGCCATCCCTCCCCAGGTCACCGACAGGGCTGCGGTTCTCTGTCCTTACCTGCCGCCTCCTCTCCTGCAGTCACCCCTCTAGCCTATCCTGCTAGAGACCTGCCTGGCTACTTCAACCACGGTTGAGGTTGCCCTGTCTCCATCTCGAGTTGTCAGCGACAGTCCTGCCAGGGGGATTTGTTTGAGCAAACACTTGGCCACTTGTGCTAAGCAAGCACGTGGCTGGCTTCCAAGCCACAGACGGCGAGGACCTCAGGCAGCGCAGGACACTGGGCTGTGGGCCGTTGTTGCAAGGGTCATGTCAGCATTTCCCCCATCGTCCTGCTGCCTTAGAAACACGGTCTGGTCTTAACCACTCATTCAGAGCCAACAGGCTCCTCAGGGGCCATCTGAGCCCAGCTCTCATTTTACAGAAGGGGAAACTGAGGTCAGAGAGAAAAACCGAGGGCAGCTCCCCCAGCAGGTGTTCAAACAGAGTAACATCGGAGCTACGGCATTTTAGACGTCACCCAGCCGGATTGCCTTTGCTTCAGAAATGGGGGGAGTGAGGGTTTCTGCAATAGTGAGGCTAAGGAAAATTCGCTTTTCATTTTAGCAGAAAAACAAGTAAAAGCTAAGAGCAGATCAGAGGCTCAGCCGGGTTTCATGGCCCAGGTGGAGAGGTCCCTACACAGCAAACGCCAGGGGAGGCCCCGAAGGACCAGAACCCAGCTCCTCACCCCCAGTCTGCTTCTCCCCCGACCGTCCGTGGTTAGAGGTGTACCACCTGCCTCCTGCAATCCTGACAAAGCTGCTGGAGCCCACAGCTCAAGTCCCTGGGGTTCCAGACTACAGAGAGCGCAGCAGAAAGACGTGATCAGAAGGCACCCGGGAGCATGTCCACGTCCCCGGGGACGAGAGCCTCACCTCTGTGCGGAGGGGAGCCAGGTGTGGGCGCCCTGGGAGGGGGGGTGAAGCCTGCCCGGGAGGTGGGAGGTGCGAGGTGGGAGGGACCGGTGTGCCCTGGAGGCCCGATCCATCCAAAGTGGGTTGAGTGTGACCACAGCGAGCCCCGGCTGGGCCGCCCAGACCAAATCACCCACGGCAGGTCGGCAGGTCGGAGGCCCCCACCGTCAACTCGCACTCCTTGGGCCCAAAAAGACATCTGGGTCACATCCTGGGCCAGGCAAATGACCCTAGGGATGACTAAGTATTACCCGCTGTCACCAAGCGACTGGTCAACTGTTGAACGGGGTGTTTCTAAAGCAGCAGGAACCTGAGGGAAAACCGAGTGACCGTCGCAAGAATGAGCAGCACGTCGGGCGGTCCCCGGGCTCCTTCCTTCTGCACCGGGCACTGGGCCGGGGGTGGCACTGCCACCGTCCACACGGCCAGCCGAGCGGCCGCTCAGCAACCGCGGCCAGGATTTGCTCGACGGCAGGGCTGTTGGGTGGGGGCTGCAAAAATGGTGTGAAAAGCCCAGAGCACGGGGGCAGGAGCGAGAGGAATCGCCTCATGATGCTGCTCTTTCTCCAGCTTCTCAGCAGAAGCACTAACTGACTGGGCAGCCAGACCAGGGGGCAAAAAGCCCCGGAGTTCTGGAGTCCGGGGAGGGACCGAGCCGGCGGAGGGGCCCCATCTGCTGAAGGAAGCCGGCCCCCGACGGGAGGGGAAGGAAACCCCCCGGGACCCACACCATCCCCCGGGGCTCCGGGTGCCTCTGTCTCCTTGGGGCCCTCAAACGGCCGTGAAAGAAAGGTGGCATCATCCCATTCTACAGACGGCAGTGAAGTCACTCGTCAGGGACAGAAGTGCCCGCCTGTGTCCTGACTCTCTTCCCAGGGCTCTGCAGTGGCCCCAGGACACAACCACCCCGGGGGAGAGGGGCCTAGAGATTTGTTTTAGATAAACGCAAGTGATGGGACCCCGGGTGGCTCAGTGGCTGAGCATCTGCCTTCGGCCCAGGGCGTGATCCCGGGGTCCCAGGTTCGAGTCCTGCATCAGGGTCCCCGCGGGGAGCCTGCATCTCCCTCTGCCTGTGTATAATAAAACCTTTAAAAACAAAACCAAAACCACAAGTGCTTACCTTCCCTGAAGTCTTGATTCCTTTCGCCAGGGACGCGTACACAATCACCCAAGCCAGGAAGAGGCAGAAGGCCAGTGGCCACCTGATTTCCCCGGGATACTCAATTCCAGCAGAGATCTTCAGCACAAAGTACCTGAGAATTGGAAAGAGAGAGCAGGGAGGGGGAAGAGGGGGCAGGGAGGTGACAGTCTGCAGGCTGTGAGCTCCCCGCAGAGCCAGGAGCCCAGAATAAACCCCAGCCCTCCCCGCCCTCCCGGCTAGGGACCCTCTGAGGTCAGGGTGAGGGATGCTCTGGTCCAGGTGCCAGCACACTGCTGTCTGCAAAAAGGCCAGCTGGGTTTACCCGGTTCCTAATTACACGCTGGGCAGCCCCCAGTGGCCCTGGGCAGCCTGTGAACAAGGCTAAGGCAGCTCCGCTGGCACCCCGAGCTGCCCCGGGGCCGAGTGGAACCCGCCCCACAGCACTGGGGTCCTGACCCAGCCTGGCCAGCAGGCCCTGCCCAGGCTGACATCTTAACATAAGGAACTCCGACCTGTCAAGGACGATTTTTATGTATTTTCTCTAGTGTTCTACTCCTTTAGAGGACGCATTACAACTGTGTTTGTAAAATTTTAAATTTAAGAAACAGGGACGCCTGGGTGGCTCAGCAGCTGAGCGGCTGCCTCCGGCTCAGGGCGTGACCCCGGAGTCCTGGGATTGAGTCCTGCATCGGGCTCCCTGCAGGGAGCCTGCTTCTCCCCCTGCCTGTGTCTCTGCCTCTCTCGGTGTCTCTCATAAATAAATAAATAAAATATTTTTTTTTGAATGTTAAAAACAGAGTCACAGGGCGCCTGGGTGGCTCAGCGGGTTAAGCAACTGCCTTCAGCTCAGGTTGTGGTCTCAGGGTCCTGGGATCGAGCTCCGCATCGGGCTTCCTGCTCAGCGGCGAGTCTGCTCTGCTTCTCCCTCTCCCTCTGCCCCCCACCCTGCTTGTGCTCCGTCTCACTCTCTCCAAATAAATAGATAAAATCTTTTAAAAATAATAATTTTTTTAAAAAATAAAATAAAAAACAGAGTCCCTACGCTAGATGACTAAAACTGCTGCTTGGTGCGTTAAGTCCAGGTGCCCAGGCCCACGCTGGCTGAGACGGAAACGCAGAGCTGGCTGGCCCTTGTTCAAGGAACGTGTTCAAGGACGAGGACCAGGCAGACGGAAGGGGGCTGCGGGTCCCCCGTGGAGGCTGCGGCAGCGGTGTGTCTGCTGAAGACACCGCGGCCTGCCTGGCAGTAGCGGGGAGCCTGGCCGACGGCAGGCAGGCAGCCTCACTCCTGGGGACAGGAGGTCGCCGGAGGGACACTGAGTCGTGACTCAGACAATCCCTTCAGCTCTGCAACCATCAAGTCCCGCACCCTGGATGCAAGGGCCGCGCTTAGAGCTCGGTGTCTTTCCGTGACCTGAACAAAGGCCAACCAGAATCCAGACTCTATGCGACTGCAGAAAGGTCAGCCTAGAACGTTCTGACCTGCAGGGGGACGTGAAGGTGGCCCCCACCCTGGCCTAGCTGGCAACAGCGCACGCCAGCCCGCCAGCGAGTGTGTCCTTGGGAGGCTGGCCTGGCCGTGCGCAGCCGCGCTTTCTGGGACAGGGTGGCCACGCTTCACGGCCACGCTCCTTCCTGTCTCAACCCCTGGGGCAACCTGGACTCAAGAGCTGAGAAAGACAGACCAAGGGTGGAATCGACCTGGGCTCCCAAACCTTAGGGACCAACGGAAAGGCCCTCCCCCGAGTCCACACTCCCTATGTCGGCAAATCACTGAGGCAACAGTCCCACGCGCCTTGGCCACGTCAAGTACGCCGTGCGGCAACAACGGGCCTCTCCAAAGGCTCCTTCTTGCAGATGACGACTGGTCCCAGAGGATTAGTAAAGACCACCAAAAGCAGATCTACAAATCACTCAAACCGCATGAATTAGGTGATCAGATTTCCTGTAACCACCAGGTGCAGCTCAGCCTCCCAGTCCTCAGGGTGAATCAAGACCCACTCTCACTGCTCCTACGTTATCTTCAAATAAGAATTACGTCACCACTGAGCCTAACTCCCCCTTTGGTTCTTTTTTTTTTAATTTTTTTAAATTTATTTATTTATGATAGTCACACAGAGAGAGAGAGAGAGGCAGAGACACAGGCAGAGGGAGAAGCAGGCTCCATGCACCGGGAGCCCGACTTGGGATTCGATCCCGGGTCTCCAGGATTGCGCCCTGAGCCAAAGGCAGGCGCCAAACCGCTGCGCCACCCAGGGATCCCTCCCCCTTTGGTTCTGTTGCATGTACCCTCTGAGTACATATGGGGGAGAAAACCTGGAATTGGAATTAATGGCAATTGGGAGAACTAGTGAGGATGTTAATGACCACTTCTGACCATCTAAGTAGAGGCCACAAACCAGGGCCCCAATGACATGCAGATTTTATTTGGCCCCAGCGTTTTATTTGAATAGAGCTTGGGAGACAGAACATAAAGACTCCTAACTCTGGGAAATGAACTAGGGGTGGTGGAAGGGGAGGAGGGTGGGGGGTGACTGGGTGACGGGCACTGAGGGGGGCACTTGACGGGATGAGCACTGGGTGTTATTCTGTAAGTTGGCAAATTGAACACCAATAAAAAATAAATTTATTATCAAAAAATGAATAGAGCTTGCTAACATGTAAAATAGGAGGGACACATAAAAATTTGGATTTTATTTCCAACTTCTCTTTTAAAACAGAAGCTCCAGGGATCCCTGGATGGCTCAGCGGTTTGGTGCCTGCCTTTGGCCCAGGGCGTGGTCCTGGATTCCCGGGATCGAGTCCCACATCAGGCTCCCTGCATGGAGCCTGCTTCTCCCTCTGCCTATGTCTCTGCCTCTGTCTCTTTCTCTGTGTCTCTCATGAATAAATAAATAAAATTTAAAAAAAATAAAATAAAATAAAGTAAAATAAAATAAAACAGAAGCTCCAGCAGCACTGGCCCACCGTCCTGCAAGACAGTGACCATTTAGAGGTGAGCATCCACAGCCTCCCTCCCACATGGCAGACAGGCTCTGCAGCAGGCCACAGTCCCCACCATTCCCAATCGTCTTGTTGATACTTCAACACCTCCCTGCCAAGTCCCTGATCACACCTGAGTTTATAACCCCGACATAAAGCTTAACTGGAGACCATTCCTTATTTACCCTTCATTGAACAAAATCCACGTTCAGCGACCTTAAGAAATCATTCCATAAACGTTATTAAATCTTCCTATGGTGGCTGAGGATTTCCAAGCATTCCTGAACCTCAGTCCTCAAAGACTGGAGAAAATGGATGTGGAAAGTAAAAAAGTAAGGCAAAACTATTTTTTTTTAAATTAGTTCTTCTTTAAAGTAAATCATTGACCGTGACTTGTTTTCTTACTTTTTGCCTCACTTCCCTTCTCAAGCTCAGAGGGAAGAAAACAGGAACAAAAACATCTAGTTTACTGAAGGTCTGCTTCGACCACATTGGCCGAAGGCTCTGCAGTGTTCTGTCCCCAACATCAGGGGGGACAGCCGCACCAGTTCTATTCCCAAGAGCGTGCAGTCACCTCCGCTCTCCAGAACCATGAGGAACAACGACCTGCTCTCAGAAGCCCCATCAGGGAAGAAACCCTCCTTCCCAATCACTCAAGTCGGTAGGGAAGGTGCAGAGGGATGCAACCCATCCCTTGGGCCACCCACACGTCCAGACTACAGCCTGAAAATTCATTCATTCATACACTGGGTTTCCCTTAGAAAATCAAAAAAAAAAAAAAAAAAAAGATAAAATCTTACTTGAAATACTCTTCACTCCCGCTGACAAATGTCTTATTGGCCTGGCTGGTGAAGTTAACCATTGTCAAGTTGGGGTAGGCAGTCATGCAGAAAGTTGAGTTCTTGATCTGTATTTTGGGATGGTCGCCGATGACACAGGAATCTGCTTGAGAGAGGACGGAACAGAAGCCTGGAGAAATCTGTACACATCTGAAAACGGGTCCGGAAAATATACACCCGTCCCTCCCCAGCTACTGAAAAACAGGAGCTGAAAATACTTGCCGGATATTGGAGAGTAACTTTGGGAAAGTGTTAACCGAGCAAAGCCAGGATTATGCCTTATCTACGCCGGAGCCCCGGTACCCGGAGCAGTGCCTGTGCTGCTACCAGAGGCTCTGGTCTTTGGAGCGCTCCCTACGTGGCCGGAGCCGTGCCGCCCATTTTCATGCGTTATCTCGTGTTCACAACAGCCCGGCATAGGGGCTATTCCCTCCTTTTTTATTTTTTTTTATTTTATTTTTTTAATTAATTTATTTTTTATGATAGTCACACAGAGAGAGAGAGAGGCAGAGACACAGGCAGAGGGAGAAGCAGGCTCCAGGAGGCAGGGAGCCCGACGTGGGACTCGATCCTGGGTCCCCAGGACCACACCCTGGGCCAAAGACAGGCGCCAAACCGCTGCACCACCCAGGGATCCCCCCCCCCCGCTCTTTTTTTAAAATGAGGGAAAAGGCTCGAAGAGGTCAAGTAACTCAACTCGAATCACGCAGCCAATAAGGAAGAGAAGCAGGATTCAAACCCAGATCCTCATGACTCCACAGAAAACAAATGGCTTGCAGGAATGAATCTGCAACTGGAAGGTGAAAACCGGGGGCGCCAGGGTGGCTCAGGGGTTGAGCATCTGCCTTCGGCCCAGGGCGCGACCCCGGGGTCCCGGGATTGAGTCCCGCATCGGGCTCCCTGCATGGAGCCTGCTTCTCCCTCTGCCTGGGTCTCTGCCTCTCTGTGTGTGTACCTCTCGTGAATAAGTAAATAAAATCTTAAAAAAAAAAAATAAAGAAATGTGAAAACTGAAATCTGTGATCTGAAATTCAATCAGACGTAAGCAAACCTGCCGAAGGACTCCCGCCACAGAAAGCTTACGGAGTTCACCTTCAAGCGACACACACCCAGGGCTTTAAGATACATTCTGCACCTGCTTTCCACACACTCACATGGGGCAGCGGGGGCAGCGACGTGCCACGTGCTTGCGAGCCTCCAACAACCTAGCACGGTGCGTCTCAGCTGCGGATGAATTTGTCCCCCAGAGGACCCTTGGCGATGTCTGGAGGCATTTTTAGCCATCGTATCTGGGGAACAGGGTACTACTGGCATCTAGTGGGTAGAGGCCACTGAAGCTGCTAAATATCTTCCAACAAACACAGGACAGCCCCCCACCCCAGAGAAATATCCGGTCAAAATATTCACAGTGTCAAGGCTGAGAAGGCCTGACCTAGGCTGGGATGGGGGACAGGGGACTAACCACGTGGCTCTTAGTACGTCAGGCACGGTGCTGGGCACTTTAACAAGGCTCATCTGCTGAAATCCTCATCAAATTATATTATTTGATGCGTATATTATTATACTCTTTATTTTTTTTCACTTGACCTCACAACCCTGAGATCCTGACCTGAGCTGAAATCGAGAGTCAGACGCTCAACCGACTGAGCCACCCCGGGGCCCCTGCTGTGCTCATTTTAAATAGGAAGAAGGCAAAGTCTTTCTGACGCTATTACGATGCCTTTCTGACAGCTTTATAAATACTGATCACTTGAGGATAGTGTAAGTAGAGTCCTCCAAGATACTATTTTACCCCCCAAAGATACTATTTTAGAGTGAAAAGTAACAGTAACGATGACTGACGCTTACAGGACACACAGCGGCTACTGTCTAAGTGCTATATAGGCACCAACTAATTAAGCCTGGCGTCACCTCTATGGGGTCGGTATTGCCACTGTCTAGGCCCAGATAAAGAAACTGAGGCACAGAGAAGAGCAGATGCTTGTCAAGCTCATGCAGCGAAACCAGGAGGCAAGCCAGCATTCTCTCTCTGGGAGCCACGCTCTTAGCCCCTCTGCTGCGAAGCAGAGAGCGGGGACCATAGACTCAAAACACCTTCAGAAGCCAGGCGGCGACACAATGAGGAAGGCATAAAACAGAGGGTAATCAGGGGACGTGGGGACCCCGGCAAACCAGAAAATGGTCCAGCCACCCAATGCCACGCCTTTCCAGGTGTCCTGGCAAAAGACACAGAAAATTTGCATATTTGCATATAACCTCTCCGTTTGAAAATGTTGGAAATAAGGCCAAATTATTGTTAAATGTCGTGGACCAAACCAAACAACAGCTACAAGAGAGCACAGGGCCACGGGGATCTGTGCACGGACCCCCGAGGCTCCCCGTCTGTGGAACAGCAACGTGGGTGAGACTATGGGTTCGGAGGCGCCTCGGCCCTGAGAGTTTAAGGGAGTTCCTTTGCCTGTGCAAGCCTCCGCTGTCTGATAGTAGGTGTATCTAGCTCGCAAGACGGCTGCAAAAGTCAAAGTAAGGGACATCTCCTGGATGAAGAAAAATTCTCACAAGGCCTAGAGCGCTGCTGGACTCATCCATTTTAGGCATAACTCAGCCACCACTGTTAGACGTTTCTGTGGGGTGGGCATCTCTAGGCCGCAGCGCCCTCTCCTCCCATGCTACTGGCCATGTATCGCCCACGGCCTCCCACCCATTCCCCCCAAATATCCCATTACATGGATAAAATCTTAAAAACAACAATTCTAAGAATCTCTCCCCTCTGATCAGCTCTTTAGGGTTTTCCACCGTGTTACTACTGACCTTCGGGGCCAGCTAACTGTTGCGGGAGCCGGCCCGGGCATTGCAGAAGGCTGGCAGCCCTGACCTCTGCCCAGCGGCAGGAGCACCCGCCCACCAGCTCCCCCATCCCGCTGGAGGACCTAGAGCACCTCCAAAGGTCATCCAGGGTCTCCGGAACTCCCCCGGGGCCGGGCACCCCTGCTCTTAGCGTCCTCCCCATGGTACCCTCTCATTCAGTATCCTCTTGAGCAGTCTAACCAAGTACCCGAGCTCCGGGGGTCCCCCTCACAGCTGTCAAACCCCGACGGAGGGAGGCGCCCCCAGTCGCCCAAGGAAGCCGACAAGGGATGGGCGGCTCCGGTCCCTGTACCTGAGCCTCGGTTACTTCCTGTCCCCTCGGCCCCGAAATCGCCACTGCCCCCCTCAAGGCCACATCGCTTCTTCCAGAGCTGTTGCCCTGGGTCACGCAGGGCCCCCTCCCCTGGCTCCGGGAGCACCTAGACACCCCAGGGAGCAGCTTGGGGTGCACCTAGACCCCCCATCCCGGGAGCAGCTCTGGGTGCACCTGGACCCTCACCCTGGGAGCGGCTCGGGGCACACCTAGACCCCCCACCCTGGGAGCAGCTCTGGGGGCACCTAGACCCCCACCCCGGGAGCGGCTCAGGGAGCACCTAGACCCCCACCCCGGGAGCGGCTCAGGGAGCACCTAGACCCCCACCCTGGGAGCGCCTCAGGGCGCACCTAGACCTCCCTCTCCCAGAGAGAGGCTCCACGTGCATCTGTCCCCCGGGACCGTTCCGGGCGCCCCTAGGTCCCCGCTGGCCTCGGCGGCGCTGGTCGCACCTTTCCCGCGGCTCGGCCGGGGGCGCCCTGCAGTTCCCCTTCCCACCGCTGGGCGGCAGGCGCGTCCTTCCCCGCGGCCCCGCGACCGCGAACAAAGACCCGCGCCGGCTCGGGGCTCGCGCCCTCCTGGGGGCTGTTGGGGGGAGGGTCTGTCCTCGGGCAATTCCCAACGAATGAAGGCGCACGAAGACTGGGGAGAAAAGGGACCATTTAGTTCAAGTTCTCGTGACAGTCAAAGCGTCCCCGAAACGCTATTTAGGACCCAGGCCGCCCTCGGGCTCCTCTGTCGGGCGCGGCCACTGTCCGCGGGGGCGCAGGGCTGAGTCCCCTGGGCGCGGGCTCCCCCCGCAGCCCCAGCCTCCACCGTCCAGGTGTGCTGCGAGCCCCGCCTCTCCCGGGGGCCTGAGCCCAGCCTCGGTCTCCCCGGGGACCTGCGAGCCCAGCCTCTCTCCAGGGACCTGCAAGCCCAGCATCTCCCCAGGGACCCGCGAGCCCAGCCTCGGTCTCCCCTGGGACCTGCAAGCCCAGCCTCTCCCCAGGGACCTGCGAGCCCAGCATCTCCCCAGGGACCTGCGAGCCCAGCATCTGTCTCCCCTGGGACCCGCGAGCCCAGCATCTGTCTTCCTGGGGACCTGCGAGCCCAGCATCTCCCCAGGGACCTGCGAGCCCAGCCTCTCCCGGGGGCCTGAGCCCAGCATCTGTCTTCCTGGGGACCTGCAAGCCCAGCATGTGTCTCCCCTGGGACCTGCGAGTCCAGCCTCTCCCCTGGGACCTGCGAGCCCAGCATCTGTCTCCCCGGGGACCTGCGAGTCCAGTGTCTCCTCGGGGACCGGCGAGCCCAGCATCTGTCTCCCCGGGGACCTGTGAGCCCAGTGTCTCCCCAGGGACCTGCGAGCAAGTGCTGGGCAGCTTATGGGGCCCGAGCTCCCGAGAGGGAGTTGGCCTCCAGAGCGGCAGGACCCCCGTAATGCTGAGCCCGCCATGGGACAGCCCCCTCCCTGCTATGACCCACGGTCACTACTCTGCACCGTGCAATGCCTCCCAGCGGCCTGCCATCACAGGTAGGGCCAGTACTGGGGAGAGACCAAGCCCGGACATTATTGGGGGGACACTGCACTAGGGAAAGGGAGGATTTTTTTCTCCATTTCCCAAACAAGCCTCTCTCAGAATGGCCATTTGGGAAAGAGGCTGCTATACCCACTGTCTGAACTCCTGCCTTGTCCGCCAGAGCAGTGGGGCCTAAAGCTGTCTGTGCTCTGCGAGTCAGACCGTCATCACCGTCCTAGGTCACCCCAGGGCCCCGGAGGACCAGTACTTCCACAAGGGATAGCCTGGCCCCCCCGGACGGAGCACAGTGCTGGGGAGAGAGCACAGCGAAGAAAAGGCCGGAGGTGCTTGCAAAGGAGCCACAGCCTGACACTTGCTTGACAATTGACACCTTGCTTAAAAAAAAATAACCTTAACGCACTTGCTAACAATGAGATAAAAATCTATCCAGCCTGTCCATAGGCTCCCAAGGGATAACCAGGGTGGAAAATGTCCACTGTTTCTCTCTGCTCAGAGCTTGCATAGTTTTATGGTCTGCACCAGGCGACGAGGAGCTGAGCTGTGGAACGCTGAGTGCAAAGGCTGCTCTGCCTTTAGTGCTTCCCGGGTTATTGTGAGCCAGACTGGAAACTTCACAAAACCAGGAGCACCCCCGCCACGTACCTGGCCCAGTCAACATGCCCAGCTTGCTTCAAAAAGAATACACACACACACACACACACACACACCTGTGTGTGTGCATATATACGCCTATACTATACACACCCTGACTATATAATAAATAGGCATCTATTCACAGAAAATGTAGAAGAGAAAACATGGTCCCAAATCTGTGTATTTGGGTGTATATGGTCCCAAAACCTTTTGGGTATTTGGGTGAGGATTTCCTCATGTTTGACGGAATAGTCACACTTAATGACTACAGAATAGTCACCCTATGGATGCACTATGAACTGTTAGAACCATGGGATTCTTCAATAATCAGTTGATTTTTGGTCAAGTGTTTCTAGTGTTTTCCAAGAGACTGTAGATGTGGCTGTAATGAACAATCATGTATAACCCTTGTCTGTCTCTGATTTTCTCCCCCATAAAATCTCAGCTACAAATAGGGAATCTATGGACCCATGGGTCCCTCTGCACGGTGATGGAGCAGAACCTGCTGGACCATGGACTCTTCAGAAACCCTCGAGAAGCAGAGAATCGGGTCATGATGCCTAAATCTCAGCGCTGGTTCTATCTTTCGATTTACAGCCTGACACTTCCACTCTCAGGACCTTCAAGTTCACTTTCTCACCTGCAAAGTAGTAAGTCATCACGACCCGGCCCCTTGGGACTCAGAGGGCTCTTATTAGGAATAGCAGAGACATCATTCAGGAAGCTGCTTTGTAGGCTGGGGAGTGTTTAGCATGGTGCTTTAGGTCCGCAGGAGGCAAGCAACTTGGGTTCAAATCCCCAGTCTAGGGGCACCTGGGTGACTCAGTGATTGAGCATCTACCTTGGGCTCAGGGCCTGATCCTGGGGTCCTAGGATCAAGTCCCACATCAGGCTCCCTGCAGGGAGTCTGCTTCTCCCTCTGCCTGTGTCTCTGCCTCTCTGTGTGTGTCTCATGAATAAATAAATAAAATTAAAAAAAAAAAAGCCTAGCTTTAAAAAAAAAAAAATCCCCAATCTAGGGGCAGGTGGGTGGCTCAGTGGTTGAGTGTCTGCCTTGGGCTCAGGTCATGATCCCGGGGCCCAGAGATCGAGTCCCACATGGGGCTCCCTGCTTGGAGCCTGCTTCTCTCTCTGCCTGTGTCTCTGCCTCTCTCTGTGTGTCTTTCACGATTAAATAAATAAAATCATTTTAAAAAAATCCCAGGTCTATCATAGAGCTAGCTCTATGACCTTGAACTCCAGTTTTTTCACCTATAAAATGAAATAATAGCAGCCATGTGTTGGATTGTTGTACGTTGGTAATATGACTAAAAGGGTTACTTACTATGGTGCTTGGTGTGTAGAAAGGGTTGCTAGCTACCATCATTAAGTGGGAAGGTGCTACAGAAATATTAGTGGATATTGCTGGCTGAAGAGGATGTTGTTTCTGCACTACCGCACCCCTGGAGGACAGGTGCAGGACACCCATCACCACCGCTCACGTGGTTCCTGACGGAGGTCCCCAGGGACACTCCCCGCGGAGCCTGAACCCAGCCAGCAGCCCTCCTCCAGGGGGTAGTCCTTTGAAAAGTGACTTTCCTCCCAGGCACAATCTGGGAAGGACAAGCAAGGCTCTAGGATGACCTTGAGGTTATCGCTGCATTCGAGATCCTACATTCCGGAAAATGTTCTAGGAAACCATTCCAGCAGCTAATTGTTGGTGGTGAATCTGTGAACAGCCACGGTGGCAACGGTGCAGAGGTGACCACGGGGCTGCAGGGCCACAAGGTGGGGCACTCTATTCCAAAAATGGTTGAGGGCATCCTCATGAAGGCATATGGGCCAACTCCAGCCTAGTAGTTCTTTGGCTCCTGGGGAACAGGAAAACTACAGATCCCTAGACTGCGTCCCCAGATCGTCTGATTTAATTGGTTTGACGTGGACCCTAAGGGATGTTTTGATCTGTCGGTGCCCCCAGATGCTCCTGGTGTGTGGCTGCTTGGCTGAGAACCGCTGCCCTAACCCACGAACCCATCCACGTGGAGACCGTACAGATGAGAACACTGAGGCCCAGAGAGTCGAAGCGACACTCACGCTTGGTCACACCGTCAGTGAGCCACACACCTGGGAACCTCCACAAATCCCCACCCCCTGCTCCCGAGCACCTCCAGGTACACAGGGTTGGAACTTACTGGGCACGTGTCTTTAGTTTTAGCTCTTCTTCAGTCTAATTCAAAATCTCTATCAGGGGCAGCCCGGGTGGCTCAGTGGTTGAGAGTCTGCCCTCGGCCCAGGGACGTGATCTTGGGGTCCAGGGATCGAGTCCCGCATCGGGCTCCCTGCGTGGAGCCTGCTTCTCCCTCTGCCTGTGTCTCTGCCTCTCTCTGTGCGTCTCTCATGAATAAATAAATAAAGTTTTTAAAACAAAACAAAACAAAAAACCCTCTCTCAGGTGGAGGTTGGTCATAACCAACCGTGGATGTCATAAACGTGTGTAAAAATACTCCAGGGAACATTACTGCTTTAGGGATGTGCATGTCCCTGGGGCTGCGGGAGGGAAGAATTAATCTTTCTCTCTTAATACACTCAAAGGGTTAAATAACACCCTCGTTCTGCAATGTGCTGGCGAGGAGGGCAAAGGAGCTGGTTCGGAGGCCAACACAAGAGCCAAGCACGCGGAGATCGCAGCATTCTGACCTCAGCACAGACTGAGCTTAAGGGGGAGAACAGATCCACTGGGAAAACACCAACCACTTGCTTACTGGCACCCAGTGAAACGACCAGACACCACAGGTGACGGAGGCACCTCAATTTAGAGAGGGACGCCTGGGTGGCTCAGCAGTTTAGCGCCTGCCTTCGGCTCAGGTCATGACCCTGGAGACCCGGGATCGAGTCCCACATCAGGCTCCCTCCACGGGGCCTGCTTTTCCCTCTGCCTGTGTCTGCCTCTCTCTCTCTCTCTCTCTCTCTCTCTCTCGTGAATAAATAAAATCTTTAAAAAAAATAGGGCACCCATGTGCTTTGTTTCTTGTTTTATGGCAATCCCGCAAAGTAGGTAGGATAGCGAATATTGTCACATCTACTTTACATGCTGACCCAGAGAGAGAAGTGACCCGACCCAGACCCATGGACTGTCAGGGGCCGGGTGTCATTTAGACCAGAAGGCCTTGCCCACAAGTCTGCCCTGCTCCTCCTCGCTCTCACCTGCTTGCCTTCCATCCAGCAAGCTGACAGCTCCCCGCAAGCCCTCAAAGTCCCGAGGGGGACTTCAGGTCTGAACAACCCTCCGTGACCACCCGCAAAGACGTCCCCGTTTCTAGGTACTACACTGCGCACGTTTCGATCAGAGATCGTCCCGTCCAGTATCTGTCCTCAGACACACCTCATCGCACTGAGCAGTGTTCAGGGAAGTGTGGACCGAGGATCACAAGCATTACCTCTCCTAGGCTCTAAGACCCCCCTGCTTTCAAACCGTACCCTGCGTATGAACCACACTGCCCACAGACCTTGCTAAAAGGCGGATTTCCCAACCCCACCCAAATCTACTGTATCACACTATCAGGTGGGCCCGTAAATCTGCATTTTTAACACACCCCTGTTAGTCATGAGCAAACAAAATTTTGATTACTCCTCCTCTGAGCCATGAGCTCTCGAAATGTTAGAACTAAGTACATGTGGTTTCAATCGTTTCGATCTCTATGCCCGGCACTTAACGTAGGTATATCCGGACTTACCTAACAAAAGTTTGGTTTTATCTTTGCATTCTGGTGTGTTCCAAGGGTTGTTGCAGGAGCCCCAGGGCAGCACAGACACAAAGGAGGCAAACAGGTAGAAAAGTGTGTAGCAGATAATCACATTGTAGTATATGGCTATCAGGACCGAGATGATCAGCATTGCGATGCCACAGCCTGCGGAAGCAAAATTGCCAGGGATTGAGTCATCCCACCCCAAATCCTAGGGAATTCTTACAGCCGGGCAACAGGTGGGGAGCTAGGTGCTGGCTCTCTTTTACAGATGGATACACTAACAGTGGAGCGGACTGTCTCTCAAGGACCCTTGAGGCATTCTGCTAGCAACAGAGCAATGCCAGGGGCAATCAGAGGGATCCCAGAGGTGGAACTGATCAAATAAAGGAAACCGTGAATTCTGCTGTTCACAAAAGCAGCCCTTTCTCCACCACCACCACCCCCCCACTTCTGGAGGATGCCAGGTGCCAGAGAGAGCAGGATAGGGTTGAGAAGGCTGAAGGCAGGGTGGACTCACCTTGTAGGGCCGGGATGGCCTTCCACACAGACACTGGCCCCTGGCTGGCAAACTGGCCCAGTGACACTTCGAGGAAGAAGATGGGTAACCCAGCCAGAGCCAGCATCATCAGGTAGGGGATGAGGAAAGCACCTTGGGAAGAGAGAATGGGAAGTGAGAGCCCTGGGAGACCAAGGCTGGCCTGGCCCACACTCGCCCTCTAGGGTGCGAGCTGGCCCCCCCTTGTTTTCCAGGAAACCTTTGTATTTCGGCTCAGCCACCGGTACCCCCTCCTCTACCAAGCGTGAGCGCCCTGCAAACACATTTTTGCAATTCCCCACTGGATGCATCACTAGGGGTTGTGTGCTGCCTGAGTTTTATCCTTTGCTCTTCTTATTATAGCATTTCAATGCTCCCAGATTAAGGTCTTAGGCATTCAACAGATCCACACCTTTGACTCACTGCCAGAGCCAGATCTGGTGTCCTCTCCTCGACATCTCTACCCTCCAAGGACCTAACATCTGCTGCGGTAGATTCTAGGAGCCCTTCTGTGCAATGACCCCAGTTACCTGCACACCTCCTGCCAACCGGTGCTGGGTCCCCTGTGCCAGACAAGTGGTCAGAATCTCTCCCCACCACCACGGCCTCCACGCACTTCTCAACTTCCTTCTCCACATAAAAGTCCCTTCTGTCCTTCAAGATCAACTCAATGCTTCCTCCTCCAGGAAGCTCCCCGTCCCTCTTGTCGGTCCTCCCACTATACCTTCCCCAGGCACTGAGCACTTGGCAATATTTACTGGGTGTCTCATCTAGGCTGGGAGCCCCCTGAGGTCGTCAAGTCTTCATCTCTTTATTCCCTGTCCCCCAACCACGATGGTAGCAGTCGGGAGACCTCCACACACTGCTGGAGGTCCTCTGGGGTTCTTTCCCTTCAATGATTCTTTCAGGTGGTTTGGGAGGGCTTTGGGGGAACAGCCGTCATCTCTCAAAAGACTTGGACCAGGAAGACAGTTGGTCAGAGCCAAGTGAGGCACTAGGGAGGCCAGAGCCCAGAACACTGTGCTCCATGGAAGGAAAAGCTGGTTTTTCTCTGGTCCCCTCTTTCTGCTCACCCTTCTTCCAGCTTCCTGTTTGGCAGAAGAACCTTTCCCATCTGGGCCTCTCCAGGCAAGGAAGGCCCAGCAGCAGCCTCCAGCTGATGGAGAGTAAAACCAGGGGTCCTGCTCTAGCCCCTCCAGAGGGGGTTTTTGAGAAAGACGTGCATCATGCCATCCTTCTCTTGTCCTCCTGAGGGCTGCTGCGGGCCGGAGCCGCAGTGCGGAAAAGCCCGCCTCCCCCTCCCTACCAGGCGGTTCCTCCAGGAGCTCCTGGAACCGTTGGGCCTGGGGCAGACCCACACTTTGCAGATCCCTGCGGGGGGAGCAAACCTCTGGCAGTTTCAGGGACTGAACTCCCCTGACTGAAGCTCCCTCCCTAGCCCCATCTTGTGTCCCGGGGGCTCCCTGTCACTGGATGCCTTATTATAGCATCTCGGCCCACTTCCTGCACCCGGGACTCTTGCAGAAAACCAAGTGGAAACCCAGCTGGGGAGCCTACATTTGTGTGGCCAGCGCACACGTTCTTCCATTTCCAGGGCATCTCTGATTGCAAATAAGCTTCAGTCCTCATAAGTACTTGTCAACGTGTCCTAATTTGGAATTGTAGAGGAGAAGGCTTATTTTTTTGTTTCAATCATCCCATGGTGCAGCACCTGTCTACCGTCTGGAGCCCACCCAAGGAAAAACAAAAAATAAACACCCTAACCTGATGGGGTGAGGGTCTCTTTGGCCCTGGGAGGGAGTCCCCTAGTTGTAACTTCCTACTCCTAGAGGGGAACTTGTCAGTTTGGGCAGTGCTGGGGAGGGCAGGCCACTGGCCAAGAAGCCTCAAGGCGGAGAGGGCAGGCAAGGCGGACCCTGAATGTGCTAGGCCCCTCCTCCTTGGCCCCTCCTCCTTGTACATAAGGGGTACAGCGGATTCTAGAGGCCTGGCAGCTAGTGCGTGCCCACCTGGCATCTTCACCATTTCAGAAATGGTTTTCCTTCAAAAGCAGCTTCTTCCACCCAGTTGAGACAAATGAAACGAAAACTTTTTTTTTTTTTTTTGGTCAAATGATTTTGCTAAAGTCAAAAGATGTCCTGCTTTGGCCCAAGAGGATGTATGTGCGTGGGCACCTCTGAGAGGTTGTTGAAAGTACAACCCCCAGCTCCTCTCCACTCACCCCTGTGTTCGCCTGCAGCCTTCATCCTGCATGATTCGAATACCCATTCCCAAAGTCTCCTCTGTAGGCTCAGATTTCCAGGTTATAACCTTAACCCATCCTTATTCGGTGTCCAGGACCCCACAGCTGCTGCGGCTAAGGTGCACAGAGCGTGCTGCTACCAGAACACTGTCAGCTAAATTAGAGTTTGAACTCCCCTGTGTCAATGCCCACTTGGCTCAGGACCCAGCAGTCCCCCAAGCCGGATGGAGGGCTGGGATCACGGAGGCGAGCCTCTCCCCTGAGCTCCATCTCCTGATAAAACCCCCTGGATCTAGTGCCAACCGGATCCAGTGGCTCCTGCCCTCTGGCTTAGCACTGATGCCTCCCGGGGATGGGGCTGGAGCGCGAGGAGGCTGCTCTGCGCCTCCCCTCCCGGCCCATTCCCGGGGCTCTGGGCGCCTCCCCAACCCGCAGGTGCCCACCCCGACGCGCCGCAGGCGGAAAGACCGGAAAAGCCGTACCTCCCCCGTTCTGGAAGGCCAGGTAGGGAAACCTCCAGACATTGCCCAGCCCCACTGCGTACCCCACCATGGACAGGATGAAGTCCAGTTTGCTGGACCAGTTCCCTCGGGCCTTATTCTCATCCCCTTGCTCGTCCTCCTGGGGGCGGAAAAGCACATTGTCGGATAACAGCCCCGGGGGTCGGTCGGCAAGCAGGCCCCATTCCACCCCTCCCCCCTGCTGAGGGTCTTTCCGAGCAAGCAGGCCCCCATTATCCAACCGAGGATGCATTGGCAAGCAGGACCCCAACTCTGAAGAGAAGATGCATCTACAAGCAGGGCCCTCACCCCTCAACCCTGCACCGAGAGTGTTTCAGCAAGCAGGCTCCCAATGGTGATCTGAAGATTCCTCTTCAACAGACCCCTCAAGCCCTCCTTCCCGAACCCTGCAGTCAGGGCACACCCGCAAGCAGCTTTCCCCAAACCTCGAACCTGGTGGTTGATTGCAAGCAGGTCCCTCCAACCCCAACCCCTGACCACGACTTCAGTTGGCAAGCAGCCCCCCAATATCATGCCTAGAACCCCCAGCAAGCAGATCCCTAACCAACCCCTCCCTCCCCCAAAACCCTCAACACACCCCTTCCTCCGCCCTTTCTCCCTCTGGAGCCTGCTAGGCCAGAGATAGAGCTGCAACGCCTGAAGCCAGCCAGAGCCCCTGCCTCACGTTCTCTGCCAAAGCCTACAGGCGGAAACTGCCTGGTGGGCTAATTTAAGGGGGGCACCTCCCAACGCCAGGGAAAGGGAAACGGGCTGGAGGGAGAGGTGGGTGCGGGTCTGAACTCCAGCACCGGCTAATCCCAGGCAGGCCACTTGCTCTCTCTGAGGCTCTGTGCTCCCCTCCGTAAAACGAGGGGCTTAGAATAACTATCCCCCGAGGCACCTTCCAGCTCCAGCAGTCCGTGGACACTGGAGGCCCAGCTCTCCACGTTCACCCTCAGACGCTCTCCTAGGGGCAGGCCCTGCTTCTGGAATGCCTCACTACTAAGCAGAGACGGATGGGGGCGAAGCCACTTGAAATAAATTCAGAACGTTCAGGACACCCGGACGCCACATAAAGGTTCCAGGGACCCAAGTCACTGCCGGGCTTCCACCTGCCTCTGTCGTACTTCATTCCCTATTATAGCAACTTGCTAGCCTCACACTGTTCCCCAGGCTGTGCACGGGGTGAAGGAGCTGTCAGGAGAGGAGGAAGTCTCTGGAAGAGAGGAGGGCCGAGGTAGGTGTCAGAAAGGCAAGAACGGAAAAAACAAACAAACAACAACAAAAAAAAAAACGGGCAGAGCTGAAAATAGGCAAATGCAGGGCTTCATGGGCTCTGAGCATCTTCAACACCCGCCCTGCGCTCCTCTGCAGGCCCGGCCCCTCCGGCCCCACCCACCCTGATGCCTCCCGGCCGAAAGGGTGGGAGTTCCAGCTGCTTTTGCCGCAGTGCGGAGGGTAAGCAAGGCCTTTGAAATCATTTTCTGCCTCCACCTGGGGTCACGCTGTGGGGCACATGCTGTCAGGGGCAGCTCCAGCCTGCAGACAAATGCTCCAGAAGGGGACTCCAAAACCAGGGGCAAGCGGGAAAGCCTAAGTGTACGTTCATTTCCAGTTATTATTCTATCGGCTGGGCTCTTGCTTTGTGGGCCCGTGGAGGTGCGCGTGTGTGCGTGTGTGCGTGCAAACACGGACTATAAGCAGAAGGGCCGTATCCACCTGAAATCTCCTGCAGGCAGGTGTTTTGTTTCAGCCCCTCACCCCCGGATTACTGGATACCTGCCTAGCCCCCAAGCCCGGGGAAGGGACGGAGACTGCAAAAAGACTGGGATTGGGAAGGGAAGAGCTAGAGTAGGAGAGGCAGGGGGAGAGAGGAAGAGATCATCGGCAGGAGGATTGGAGGGAGATGGAAACAGGCAAGAGGACAAGTGGGAGAGGGTAAAGGTAACCGGTAATGGTTGCCTTATTCCTAACCCAGGATTGGGGTTTGTTTGCTCTGTGGGTTTTTCATGCCTCTGGTTGAGTGTAAAGGATCAACCCCAGAGGTAGGTGCAGGTTTGTGGGGGCATGGAGCTTATTCAGTTGAGATAGGTGCCCTTAAACACACACACACACACACACCAAAATATGCAAAGTTATGATGACAGTATTAGGGACGGACTGGGTTTGAGAAGAATCCTGAGGCTTCAGAAGTAGCTTCGTGAGAACCCACCTCTCGTCCAGAGTTCTCATGTGACCACTGGTAACTCTAAGTGAAAAGGCTGCAGTCCTTAAACTGTTACTGCCTTCTGTGGAGTGTTCCTGGTATCTATTGTTTTTTTTTTTTAAATATTTTTTTTAAAGTAGGCTCGGCCAACCCGGGGCTTGAACTTAGGACCCCGAGATCAGGATCTGAGCTGAGATCAAGAGTCAGAGGCTCAACAGACAGAGCCTTTTTAGTTTTTTGTGTTTTTTAATTTAATTAAGGGAGGGGCAGCCTGGGCGGCTCAGCGGTTTAAGCACCTGCCTTTGGCCCAGGGCGTGATCCTGGGGTCCCGGGATGGAGTCCCACGTCCCGCTCCCTGCGTGGAGCCTGCTTCTCCCTCTGCCTGTGTCTCTGCCTCTCTCTCTCTCTCTCTCTCTGTGTGTGTCTCTCATGAATAAATAAATAAAATCTTTTAAAAAAATAATTAAGGGAAAACACCTTAAAGGAAACGCTCATAGATGAAAGGAGGGGGGCTCCTGTTTTCATACACCTATGGGTCTCCACTGCTCACGGAGGCTGCACCCCATCTCCGAGGCCACCGAGGCTGGGAGGCGCAGCAGGCAGGGCAGCTCCCCGAGTTCTCCGCCTCCCTGGCAGGGTCACTGCAGCCCTCGCGCCCGCACCGGGGACCCCAGCGCAGAGCGAGCTTCCGAAGCCCCGCAGCTGCCTCCCGCATCCATTACCTGGCACTGCCAACCGGTCTCCCCATCAGCACACGTGCACCCGCCGCGGCCCGGCTGCCTCGAGCCCCCGGGGAGCCGGAGGCGGCGCGGCCTGAGCGCACCCCGCTTACCTGGGCGGCCGCGGTGGCCACGCTGCCCGGGAGCACGGACGTGATCCCATCCGTGCCCAGCACCACGGCGCTCTGGCTCATATTCACCCAGCCCCCGGCCGGGGTGCTGTTGCGCTCCAGGGTGCCCTTGCCCGCACTCGCGGCGGCATCCCCCTCGGGGCCGCGCAGCGCCGGGATCCTACACTGCAGGGCGTCGCCGGGCCCCGCGCCCCCGGCCGTGCAGGCCCCCGCTCCCGGCCGCTCGGCCTCACGGGCTCGCGCGTCAGGGGACTGGAAAGTTGGGGCGCCCGTGGAAGCCGACCTGGGCACACGCGGCGGCGGCGCGGCGGGCAGCTCCTGCTCCGGGCTGGTCCGGGGCGCGCGCGGGCTCTCCAGGGGCCCCGGCGCCGCCCCCAGGCTGCTGGCGGGTCGTTTACTCATTTCCTCGGGGGCACCGCAGTCCTGGTCCTGCAAACACAAGGGGAAGTTCGTGCACACACGCACGCACGCAAGTGAAACATAACGAAGTCACGGCTGCTGCAAAAATACCTGTGCCTGCATATACCGACGTTCACCGCTCAGGTCCAGACACAGGATCTAGGGAATAACCTGGAAGGTGGATTTTTTTTGTTTTTCTTCTCCAAGAGCTATTTCTCAATTGCCCGTCTTGCCAATAACCAGATGGCATAAAGCGGTTAATATTCTCCTCCCCCTGATGGTGCGGAAACTAAGAAAAGAGATGGAAATGTGCATTTTTTGTTTTTGTTTTTTGTTTTTTGGAGGTGGGAAGAAGAAAGAGGGTGGGAATAGCCCTACAGCCGCCGTGAGCTCCTGGCCCTCTTTGGATTTCACATCACGGCTGTAGGGTGCCCACTTCCCCATCACCACTGTAGAAAGATTCTTTAATTTTCCGCCCCATTTCCTTTGTCATTCAATAATGCACATTGCTGCTTTTTTTTTTTTCTTTTATAAGCTATAGGCAAGCTGTGGCCGCAAAGCTGATGCCCTGGCACCTGCGAGTGTTTCGGGCCAAAACGGTTGTGCGAATCCCCGCTCGCTCGAAACCCATCCCCGCCCTCCAGGTAGCAAAGGCAGGGGTAAGGATCGCGATCAAAACAAGAAGAACCCCACAACCACCATAATAAACCGGACGCACAGCACGAGATAGTAACCAGGTTCACTCTCCTACGCGACCTGTGTTCACCTCCGGATTCTCGGGTTTGTCAGAGAACACGCAAAGTCTTAAAATTCTCCTCCTCCCTCCGGTAACTAATCACAGGAGTCTAATGTCCTTCATGCCCCTCCACCTGCTTGGGGGCCAAGACTCAGGGCTCCTTTTCCCTCGCTTTTTCTCAATTGGGTTTCAGATGATGAGAAATGCCGGCAGTGGGTTTTCTGTCTGCTTTCTCTCCTCGTGCCATTTTTCGGGGCTTCCTGAATATCACCACCACCGTTCACGATTACACCGCAAGAATAATCGTATCACCTTCACCTCAACCGCGCGCCTCTAACCGGTCTTTCCTAAATGCACAGATCAGGACAATTGGTTTGCACCGAGTCTAGGTCCCTTGGCTCCAGCAAGCGCGCTGATCTCGTAGTCCTGAGCCTCGGGGCGGCTGGCCTCAGCAGGGCACCTGGCTGTCGCCCGAGGACGGTGCCCAGGATCGCCGTGAGGACAGCCCTCGGGTGGCCACAGCCTCAGAAACCTCCTGCCCACCTCGGGTGATGCGCAGAGAGCCAACACCCAGGGCTCCGACCTTCCTCCAAAACGCACAGCCCGCTTCCGAAAGGAGCACCCTAAAGGACCCTGCCCTCCCTCCACCCGCAGCTCCCTCTCCTTTTAAAAGAACAAAAGCGACCACTCACCATGTCTGTCTGGCGCGGGCGACGGAGGGAGCGGGCCGCGAGTGAACCCAGCCTTGGTGACACCGGGCTTGGCTCCGGCAGGCGCGTTCTATATCTCCTTGGGAGAGGCCAGGTTTGCGTCAGTGCAAAGCAAGGTGCCCTTCGGTTGACATTTTCTTGATAATACAAGTTTGATAAATCATTACCCACCCCCCCACCTTGGACTCCAGTTTTAAAGGGACAACGGCCGAGAGTCGGCCAGCCTGTCGTCCCTGCGGCGGGAGGGGGCTGCGTGTTCGGCGTGACTCATGTGGGTCTGATTACTAAACCGGAGCCGGCGGGAGGGGACGACAGAAGTTTGCCTCCTAATTAAGGCAAACATGGGAGGGACACGTCCCACTGCACCCAAGGCGAGGCGCCGCCGCCAACAGAGCGGATTGGGCTGCGCGCTGGGAGAGGGGAAGGAATTAAATCACTGTCAAGCTTCCAGTCTTCCTCTCCTCTGGATCCCGCAGCTGCCTCTGCGACCTGCAGGCAGCGGGTTCCACGATATCACCCCGAGACCCAGGCCCTGCGATGGCCCGGGCTGTGGGGCCTTCATCCCCCTGGGATGAAGGGAAGGGTGTCCCCTGCCCTTGCACCTGCAGACTTCAGATCCTCACAGCCTACCCTGCACACGACCAGTGTCAGCCCTCCCAGAAAACTAGGGGTTTTGCTTAGGAATCGAGGAATCGAGGTCTAATCTCTGGCTTCCTGGTTCATCTCTGTTCACACACACACACACACACATTCTGAGTACACTTACAACTGTGCTCGTATTTTTATGTTTAGGCTCCTCTGAAAACCCTTTCAAGAAATAAAGAAGAAATTATTTGCAGCAGTGCCCTCGTTGTTAGGTCACCTTCAAAGTCACAGGGCGGCCGTTCTGTCGTCGCGGGCCTCCCAGTAGGGCCCGGCACAGTCAGCAGGACGCGGGAGCGCAAGGCCCGGGGCCTGCGGGTGGCGGCCCCCAAGCACCCGCGGCAGGGCTGGCCTGGCGGGAAGGCCTGGGAGGACGGAGGTGCTAGGGCGCTGCGGCGGGGGGGGGGGGGGGGGGGCGGCCCGAGATTAAACGGGGCTTTCCCCGTCCGAGGAGAGGGACGCACCGTTACCGAGGAGGTGCGGTTTGGGGGCTAAACGGGGATTCGTGATAAAGCGCGTGCCCCCCGCTCCTTGGGGCTGGCCTCGGTGGGGGGGCGCAGGCCTCCGCGGGGGGCTCGAGGCGCAGGGCGGGGGGGGGGGGAGTCCCCGCGCGGCAGGAGGTCGCGGCGGCAGGTTGCGGCGGCGCCCGGGGCGCTGGGGTCCTCCGCTGCCTCCGCTGCCTCCGCTGCCTCCGCTGCCTCCGCCGCTCCCCGAGCCCCGAGCCCCGCCAGCCGGGACCCGGTGCGCCCGGGCGGGGCGGCTCGAGCGGAGGCCCCCGACGCCGCGGGGTTCGGGCTGCTTGGGCGGAGGTCGGGGCTCGCGTTCACGGAGCGCTCAGCACCGACCCCGAGCAGGGGCTTCCCGCGGGCTCCCGGCTGGCTCGGGAACAGCTCGGGGACCTCCCAGGTCTCTGCGCCAGAAGCTCCCGGACCCGAGGTGCAGACGTGCTTGGGAGCCCCGGAAAGGCCCGCAGCCCCCCCAAGGGCCCGCGGGGGCGTCGCGGGGTCCCCGAGGCCGGCTCCGCGGGAAGCAGGACACGGAGGGCGCGGGAGGGCCCACGGGCGGCGGGGCCCCAAGCCCGGGGTCGGGGTCGGGGGGGGGGGGGAGGCCGAGGGAGCCCAGCGGCTCCTTCCCAGACGCGCCCCAGCTTCCGAGAAGCCGCAGCGGGCGCGGGAGGGCAAGGCCGGGCTCACGGCCCCCGCCTCGGGCCCCCCCGCCCCCGCGGGCCCCGGACACGCGCGCACCAAGGCCCGTCACGACTCGGAAAGGCGCCGGCCTCTCGCGGCGCGCGGGAGCCCGGGGAGCGCCCACGGACACCCCGACGTTCCGGGGCGCGCTGACGTGGCGGGGCTGGGGGGGGCCGAGGGCGCGCGGGGGTCCCCGCGGGGCGCGGCTGCCGCGTCAGGCCCTGGGGAGGGCGGGGGGCGCGCTGGGAGGGCTGCGGGGCGGGGGCGCGCGGTGGAGGCGCTGCAGGGGCTCCCCCCGCCCCCCCCGCCCCCCCCCCCGCCTGCAGCCCCGAGAGGGTCTACAAGGAAGGGGCTGCGCTGCGAGGGGAGGGAACCCTGGGGGGAGATCCTGGGGGGCGGGGGCGCGCGGTGGAGGCGCTGCAGGGGCTCCCCCCGCCCCCCCCCCCGCCTGCAGCCCCGAGGGTCTAGAAGGAAGGGGCTGCGCTGCGAGGGGAGGGGGGCCCTGGGGGTGCAGACCCCGGGGGCGGGGGCCCGAGGACGCGGAGCAGACCGGCCTCGCCCCCGCCGCCGCGCCTGCTCCCCTGCTCCGAGTGATAATCCCGCCCGCGCGGCGGCCGAGACGGGCCGACGTCCGCATCCATCACCGCGCGGCCCCTCGGTCGGAGGGAGCCGGTCACTGTGGCCTTAATTACTTTGTCAGAGATGAAAAATAGTAATTGATTTCGCCCTCGATCACGTTGCCCCCGCTCCTTGCAGATAAGCAAATAAATAGCTTCAAAAAAAAAAAGAAAAAGAGAGAGCCCCGTCCATCTGGCATTTGCGGGGCGCGGGGGGGGGGCGTCCGCGGAAGAAGATCCGCCCCGCGGGGCCGCGCCACGCCGCGGGGGCCACCCTGAACCTCGCAGAGGCCGCGCCGGGCGGGGGTGCAGGGGGCGAGGCCGCGAGCACAGGCGCCTGCTCCTCCGAGGCCGCGGCCGCCCCTCCGGACCGCGGGCGAGGAAGCCCGAGCGAGAAGCGAGTTGGCGCGGTCTCCGGCCCCGAATGCCCTGCGCCCCTGCGCGGCGGCCCCCGGGTGCGCTCACAGGCCGGGTGAGAGCCCGGGTCGGTGCCACCTGCCCGCGACGGCCCAGTGTGGCTGCGGTGCGGCCCTGCGCTAGGACTGCGGCCCCTGCGGCCTGGGGTGCAGGCCCCACCTGCGAGCAGAGGAGGAGGAGGCTGCACCCCACCTCGGGGCTGCTGGGGGCACGACCGCGGGCCCGGGAACTGCGGAGACGGCTCAGCGGCCTGCTTTGCTGTCCATAAGCAACTGTTCCTCTTCATTCTTGGGAAGATCATGGTTGAAGCCCCCCCCGCCCCCCGCTTTAGCAGATAGAACCGTTGCTTCTCCCGGGTTCCAAACGGAAGGTGCGCACAGGGGAGAGCCCGCTCATGTTGCAACAGCTTCCCTCCTCATCCCGGGGTCTGGTCGCGCAGTAATCAAGTGTTTATCAACAGAAAAGTGGGAGCATCCTGTAAAATGGAGCACCCAGACACAGAGGCTGCCCGGTGTCCTGAGACCCCTTTTGTTCAGGCACAGGGAAGTCTCGTGCAAAATGACAGGAGGTAAGGGCTGTGTGGTGCGCGGTTTTCCCCTGGACCTCAGGTGTCAGGGAGAACGGACTAATCACGGGCAGGTTCCCCCACCAAGGAATTTCAGTAGAGACGGAAGCTGGGAATCGGAGGCTCAGCTAAGGGACTCGTCGGTGCGCAAAACGTAGGTCCCAAATCCTGAGACTCAGACAGGCAGGACGCTCGGTCCTGAGTCAGCAAGAGTGAGGATTCTCACTTCACTGCAGCAAAACCCAGGGCAGTGGGCGCAGGCGCGCAGGGGGTGCCGGCGCAGACGCAGACAAGTTTAGAACAAGCTGCAGAGGACATTCAAGGTCATCCATAGTCATCCGTAGTCCCGCACGGCTCCGGTGGGAAAGCAGAGGTCGAGGGAGGAAAAGTCACTGCTCAAGGTCACTTGCAAATTAGAAACAAAGTCTAGTAGCATCTGTTCTTTTAAAGGGAGAGACAAAGAAAAGGGTCGTGCTGTCCTTTGATCCAGCAATCTCACTCTGAGGAACCTACCCCAAGGAACAAGGGCTCAGGGCAAGGATGTTTATCATAGCCTGGTTGATAAGTGAA